ATCATGATATCATCTAATTGTGGTAAGAAAATCTAAATAGAATTTAGGTATAGTTGGCCATATCATGATCATCATCGTTATCATTCCCCAGAAAGAGCTTCAGTGGACTTTCAGACAGTCTTCTGAAGTCATGGGCATAAATATTTGTTTAAATGGCAGTTATCTTTCCTTTATTCTAGCCAATTTGATGCTAGTCAACCCAAAATAAAAATAATTTATAGTTTATAAATTTCTGAGCCAATCCAGAATACAGAATTGTGCTAGCCAATTCAGAAAAACAATAGAGTTCATAAATCCCTAGGGCAAGGAGTCAGTAAACTATGGCCCAACTGTTTCTGTAAATAAAGTTTTATGGGAACACGGCCATGCTCATCTATTTACAAATTGCCTGTATTTCTCACCACAACAGGAGAGTTCAGTAGCTGCGACTCCACAGTCAAAATATTTAAAGCTAAAAGTATAGACTACATTGCCTTTTATAAAATGTTGGATTATTTGTGTCCTGTCTTTTTTTATCAACTTTATTTTTTAGAACAATTTTAGGTTCACAGCAAAATTGAATGTAGGGTACAGAAATTACTTATATGCCCCAACACCACACATATATAATGTCCCTCACTAGCGTAGTGCATACATTATAATTGATGAACCTACAATGACACATCATTACCACCCAAACTCCATAGATTACAGTAGTTTCAATCTTTGTGTTGTACATTTTACATAGGTTTAGGTAAATTTATAATGTTATGTATATTGTCTTTTTTAACTTTTATTATAAGCTATTTCTGTTAGTACTTAAAATTATTATTATTACAACTATATAATATTCTATCTAAAGGTTGTGCCACAACTTATCTAATATTTTTCAGTTGAAGACTTCTGGTCAAGATGATGGCCTAAGTAAACACAGCTTGCCTCCTCACACAACCACGTCAAAATTACAACTAAATTATAGAACAACCATCACTCAGAACCATCCAAAATTGGGTAGAATAGAAGTCTGACAACTACAAAAGTAAAGAAACCACATCCAACCAGACTGGTAGGAGGGGCAGAGATGTGAAATGGTCTAGTCCCACATCCATGTGTAGTGGATAAAAATTCCAGAAGGATATCTCAGGAGCAAGGAGTACAGCCACACACCAGACACCCAGCCCAGGGGTCCAGTGCCAGGAAAATAAGCCCCCATAACTTCTGGCTGCAAAAACCAGTGGGGACTGAGTAGGTGGAAGAAACTTTCTAGAGTCCCCAAGCAGTTCCTCTTAAAAAATCCACACATGGACTTATTCAGACTTACTCTTTCTGAGCTTTAGCACCAGGGTGGCAGCTTGAAAGGCACCAGTGGCAAAAAGGGAAGAACTGATGTATCTGGCATCCAGGTGAGAGCTGAGGGACAGCTTTCTCCCAGACAAAGAGGCTGGCAGAGGCCATTTTCTCTTTTCTAAACCTCCTCCCAACAGAGCCGCAGAGCCACAGAACCAGCAGGCAGGTGCCATATCTGAGACTCCATCATACAGGTTTAATACTATTTCCCCACCCTGAGATCCCCTGAGACTAAGTTCAACCCATATTTTATTTTGGGTGCATCAAAGCTGTTACCAGGGACTTTTCCATATGAATGGCTAGTCTTGGCTCATGCTTCACAACTTCCTAAATCCTCTCAAACAGGCCATGGCTGGCCTCAGTGATCATCCAGCCCCCATACCACTTGCTAAGTGGCCCCGGCCCCAATACTAGCCACAGCCAGCCTAGATTCACAGCTTAGTTTGCCTGGGAATCTACAAGCCCAGAGCAAGTAGCAGCCATCTCAAATGGCTTTATACCTCAAGCAGGATGGCCCTGGGCAAAATACTAAGAGCGGCTGACCTCGGCCTACACCACCCAAGAAACCCAGGAGCCTGCATACCCAGTGGATAGCTACAGATCGTGTCAAACATCACCAGCCTATCCCTGCACGGCTGAACCTCCACAGAGGGTGAAGGTTGGTGGTCAGTGGTCACAACAATTCTTGTAGCTGACTGGCCTGGGTAAATCCCTCCCACTGACCTGCCAACAGCAATCAAGGCTCAATTACAAGAGAAAAGTGTACTCAGCCCACAGGAAGGGCGCACCTCAAGCACCCTGCTTGGGTGATAGGGGAAGCTGTGCCATTGGACCCTGCAAGACACCTACTACATTAGGCCACACTACCAAGACACAGAGTCATAGCAGCTCTACCTAATACATAGAAACAAACACAGGAAGGCTGCCAAAACAAGCAAACAAAGAAACATGGCCCAAATGAAAGAACAGATCAAAACTCCAGAAAAAGAACTAAACAAAAGAAGATAAACAAACTGTCAGATGCAGAATTCAAAACACTAATTATAAGGATGCTCAAGGAATTTAGTGAGAGCCTCAACAGCATAAAAAAGATTCAGTCAGAGACAAAGCATTCACTGATTGAAATAAAGAACAACTTACAGGAACATAACAGTACAGTGACTGAAGCTGATAATCAAATCAATGATTTAGAACATAAGGAAGCAGAAAACGACCAATCAGGATAACAAGAAAAAAAGGATCCAAAAAAATACAAGGATAATATAAGGAGCCTCTGGGACAACTTCAAGCAGTCCAGCATTCACATCATTGAGGTGCTAGAAGGAGAAGAGAAAGGTCAAAAAATTGGAAATCTATTTGAAAAAATAATGAAAGAAAACTTCTCTAATTTGGTAAAGAAAATAGACATGCAAGTCCAGGAAGCACAGAGTCCCAAACAAGATGGACTTGGAGGTCCACTCCAAGACACATCAATAATTAAGATGCCAAAGGTTAAAGATAAAGAGAGAATCTTAAAAGCAGCAAGAGAAGGGCAGTTAGTAACCTATAGAGGAGTTCCCATAAGACTGTCAGCTGATTTCTCAAGAGAAACTTTACAGGCTAGAGAGGATTGGCAAGAAATAGTCAAAGTCATGAAAAGCAGGGACCTACAGCCAAAATTGCTCTACCCAGAGAAGCTATCATTTAGAATCAAAGGGCAGATATTGAGCTCTCCAGACAAGAAAAAACTAAGAGTTCATCATCACCAAATCATTATTATATGACATGTTAAAGAGACTTCTTTAAGGAAGAAGATCAAAACTATGAACAATAAATGTCAGTAAATACATATCTATCAACAACTGAATCTGAAAAAACTAATCCAGCAAGAAGAACAGGGGCAGAATCATGAATGTAGAGAGCATTTTGATAGTTGCCAGACGGGAGGGGTATGGAGAATGGGTGAAGAGGTGAGGAGATTAAGAAGTACAAACAGGTAGTTACAGAACAGTCATGGGGATGTAGAGTATAGGAGAGGAAATGGAGTAGCAAAAGAACTTACACGTATGACCCATGAACATGAACAATGTTTGGGGGATTGCCTGAGGGAGTGGGGGAGGGTAAAAATGGAAAAATTGGGACAACTGTAATTGCATAATCAATAAAATATAAAAAATAGCATTTTTCAATTGGTACTGTAACTTAATACACATTGCCAATTTCATTTTCAAAAAATGTGGCACCAATTTCCAATGCACCAACTCTATTTCTGAGTATTCTCAATATTACATTTCCTCCCTAATTTAATAGAGGCACAAAGGTACCTCATTACATTAATTTTCATTCCCTTGATTATTAGTGGGGCTAAGCAACTTTTTTTATATTCTTATCTCCTACATGAACGTATCAGTTGACTTTTGTAATTATATTTGAAGCATTAAGTACCTCTGTTTAAAAAAGTTTATGCATTATTTCTCTCTTTTACTTTCAGCATTAGAAGACTCCAAACTGGTAGCTGATAATTATAATAGTGATACTTTTCTGTTACTTTGTGATACTTTGTGATACCAAGAAACAGCAACCTGGATATCTGGGATTTTCTTCTTTCTTAAGGAATAAGAGTTCTGAAAAACAAACATGAACTTGTCTCCTAAATCCAATACCAGGTCTGGACCTTACTAATAGAGAAATAAAAGCATTAAGATTAAAGGAAGATATATTTTAGACAGGACAAAAAGGTAATTTTAGAAATTTTTTTTCTTAAGAAGATAAAGCATGAGCTTTTCCTAGCAACCAGGGAAAAAGTTGATGATATGATAAGCAAACAATCAGTGGGAAAAACTGTAATACTATATTTGATGTTTTGACTAATAAGAAGTCTGCTCTGATTCAAATTATCAAGTAGTTCACTTTTAACACTTAATATTGTGAAACAATAGAGTCCCAGAGAACCAACTTGTTACGAGAGAGATGGCTGAACACAGTAGAGAACATAGATCTTGAAGTCAGAACTGAAGTTCAAAATCTTGGCAAGTCACTTATCTCTGTGAGCCTCACTCCTCCCATATTTAAAAGCAGAAAAAAATAAATCCTACCTCAAAAGTTTATCATAAGAGTTAAGTTAGATAAGTTATCAAAACATTTACCATAGTCACCGAGAAGCAGTAGACATTCAATATTTGGAATAAGAACAGCAAGGAAATATACATCACTTTTATGTATTTCTAAATTAAATTTTACATTTACCCAATTATATGGTGGATACAGGAACAAAGTAGCATTAAACTTACTTAACCAATGATATATACAACAGTATATGATAGAAGTTTAGAAAAATAAAAGTCCTAAAAATAGAAGCCCAGATTCTCTTTCTACTGAGCTAACTCAAAATATGAATAAAGATATTCATATTTTATTCTTCTTTCTATCATTTTTTATATTTTCTGTGGCATACACAGATAACTTTAAATAACAAGAAAATAGTAACAAGTTTAATATTTTAAATAAACTAAATTCAAGCAGTGACCAACTTTCAAATAATGATTATCTTCAGGTTTAATGGCATAATTCTTTAAATCAGAGAAATATTGATTTTAAGTATTTCTGAGTATAAGTAGTCATAAAACTTCAAGAAAGGAGTCAGAAAGTTATTTAATGACTCATACTACAAGAGGGAAATTATATAGCACACGTACTTGTAGTGGCTTCTTTCTTTCAGAGAATGACTGAGTTTGACTCTTAGGAGAAGGGGCAACTCCTTTAACTTCTAAATCCATTCAAGTTCACACACAGACTGTGCAGTACCTTGAAAAAGATAAAATACATGTATAATAATTCTTACCCTAATTTTAAGTAAATTACATAATAATATGACATAGAAAGAAAGCCCATGGCCAATCACATTTACCTCTTTCACCAAAATTAACTACTTATGGAGCAATTACATTATGCGAGGAAACATTTATGTGGTAAATACTAGTCTGAATAATGGTCCCTCAAAGATGTCCATGTCCAAATCACCAGACCCCATGAATATGTTACCTTACATGACAAAAGGACTTTCGATGTGATTAAGTTAAGGATTTTGAGATGTGGAAATTATGCTGGTTTAACGAGGTGGGTCCAATATAATCACCAGAGTCCTCATAAAAGGGAGACAGGATGATCAGAGTGAGGAAAAGATGTAAGGACGGAAGAGGGGTCGTAGAGAAACAAAGGTGTTTGCCGCTGGCTTTGAAAATGGAGGAAAGGTCACGGGCAGTCCCTAGAAGCAAGAAAAGGCAGGGACTGCGTTCTCCCTTGGAGCCTCCAGAAGCAAGCAGCCCTGCTGACACCTTGATTTTAGTCTTGTGGAATTCATTTTGTACTTCTGACCTTCAGAACTGTAAAATAATGAGTTTATATTGTCTTACACCGCTACGTCTGTGGCAACTTATTACAGGGCAATAGGGAACTAATGCATGTAACTCTTCTCTACCACAAAGTGGTTTCATTCTCTTTACGCTTTTTCTAAATCTTTATGAGTTTTAATTTTCCCAGAGTAGGTTGATGAAAATAATTTTTAGCAAGTAATATTATTTATCTAATACAAAGAATAAAATAGAGTGAATGATCCAACTAGTAATTATGAGGTGATAGGTAAAAATGTTTGCAAAAGTATGTGAAAATAATCAACTTGGAAATATGCACAAAATAAAAACCATACGACTGTCTGTCATCCAAATTCTGAATATTTTATTTTATACTTCAACCTTATATTACCAAGGAGATATTTTTGTTTAACAATTCATTCATACTTTCTTTTTATGTTATTAGTCTTGGATTTATTTTAATAGTAAATTATTTTTGGTTTATTTTATTTTTAAGGAAAGATAACATGGCACAGTGCTTGGAGTCAGGTAGACTGACATTAAAATCCTCATTTTTGACACTTTCCCATAACGTAAGCTTGGGTAAGAACTTAATTTTTCTGAGCCAATATTTATAATATGTAAAATGAGTTTAATGTTAGCACTTTTCTCATCCTCCTGTATCATGTGTGTGGAACATGGTTAACATTCAATACATGGTAGCCATCATTATTGTTATTATTACATGTAAAATGTAGTTTTATTTTACATCCAATGAGATCCTCGTACCCGAAAACGTACCAATTCCTTATTAATGTTTCAATATGATTCCCTTCACGCCATTGACAAAGCCTCCTCCCCTAAATATTTCATACCCTGGTAGGATTCTACCAGAAAAGTCAGAAAGACCAACCAACAGTAGACATTATGAAAACATAACAAATCATTAGATTTCAAAATACTGCTACGGCACTAGCAGATGGTTCACTTTTCAAAGATAGCTTTCACAAAGAAAACTTTTTAGTGTTGTGATGGGTTTGGAGGGCAGAGAGGTTTGTTGTTTGCTTTTCATCATATCACAAGAGCTGTTGGTATTTGCCATGACGATTAGTGGCCAACAAACCCAGGTTGAAACAAGGGTGTTGAACAATCAGTTAGGTGATTTTCTCCAAACATCGTTCATGCAACTTTTTATACCTTAGTAATTACTACAGTCACTTCAAATAACTATAGGTCACTTTAAATCACTCTAATTCATTTGCCAATATGAAAAACAAGAAAATGTATACCCTCAAATCTCCAGGTCCACCTCAATGGCTTGTGTCTTACCCAAACTCCAGTGTCTCCAGTTCATGGCAGGTTATTGTTAGCATGCAATGACCTTTACCATATTATCTTCGACACCACCAAAATGCATTAAAGTCACTTTCCACTTTTCTCATTTTTTAAGGATGTTTTTTCCAATTCTAATTATCATTTTTTTTCTTGGTTAGTGATGTTAGTGGCTATACTGTTGCTTATACCAAATCAGAACATAAGGGAAAGCAAGGAATAAACTGATAGAATCCAGCCCATAATCAAGGAGAGAGGAATGAGATTTGAAAATACTATTTAGTATTTTAAGCTCCATGCAGACAGGGACCAAGGAAGTCTATTTTAGAGCATAGTCGATAACTGATTCAGGTATCTTAATTGAACCTGGGATCGTGGATAATTTCAAACAAGACAAAGCAATTCCCCTACATTCTTCCCCCCAAAATTAAGATTATACCTGAAGACAAGTGTACAAGGAACGTTCTAGGCTCTTCCTATCTAGGATTCATGGACTGGGGTGGGGACACGAGGGACACCCAACCTTACTTGATCCAATAAGCTGGGTAAAGACCTGGTCCAAGGTGGGAATACTGGGAAAACTAGATGCTGGGGCGATTCCACCAACAACCCTCTTGAGAACGGTTCAGAGGGGCCAAGCTGAGCAGTAGCAGTTCCCAGCAAAGGCTCCAGCCAGTTCAGACGAGCGTCTGCAGGTTGCCTGGTAACAGGCGCCTCACCTGGGCCTCTACCCTTCCTCTCACTTCCAAGGTGAACAAAGTGGGCGGCCCAAGTCCCTAGCTGCATCCACGCCACCTGCTGCAGCCCACGCTCTCCTCCCCAAGTACGCGCGGCAAGACGCTGCCGCCCACTCACCGGTACTCACCGAAAAAAGGAAATCCTAGTAGGAGACTCGGAGGCTCGTCCCGGGTCTAGCTCTGCGACGCCTCTAAACCCCGGGGAAGATTGGAGCGGACTCACTCCGGAGAGCAGGGGAGGGCCAAAACCCGGCCCGGATCAATGGCAGCTGCATGATTCTTCCTTTAAGTGAATTCTACTGTAACATATTTTCTAGGGAATCTACCAGGTGTCAGGTCCCAGAATGTTTTTTCCTTTGTTTTTAGGACATATTCTTGGTCTTTTTTTATTGTTCAAATACATTTGTCTCCATTTTCCAGCCACCACTTTTCCCTGCCCCACCCACTCCCACCTCCCACCCGCCACTCTCCACCCTCAATCCTTCCCCACTTTGGCTTTGTCCATGGGTCATTAATAAAGGTTCCTTGATTTGACTCTTCCCCTTCTTTTCCCCATTACCCCTCTCCCTCCTTCCCTCTAGTTACTTTCAGTTTGCTTTTTCTTTCAGTGTTGCTGGTTATGTTTTTCTTGCTTGTTTGTTTTGTTGATTAGGTTCCACTTACAGGTGAGATCATATGGTATTTGTCTTTTTTTATTTATTGTTTTTTTAGGTTTTACAATATCATTCTTTTTTATTGTTGTTCAGTTACAATTGCTCCCAACTGTTTTGAAGGGAAAAAAATTTAAGCATGAACTCTCAAGCAATTTGCAATTATTTAAAAAGACAAGATTGCAGCATGGTATTATGTAGAGAGATATATAGACAGACATAAATATTACTTTAAATACGTGTGCACATATACACAAATATCTACGATCACTTACATATATGAATACAAATTAAAATACTGACGTAATAGGAACTTACCTAGGAATCAGGAAACCTCCATTTCATTCTTTGCTCTGCACACAGTGTCTTTAGGAGTCAACTGCTCTTCAGCAGCAAGAAAGGTCTGGTTTGAGGTATTTCTAAGGTTCCATTCCACACTGAGATGCCTAACTTTCCTGAACTGCACAAGCGTCAACTATTCAAACTAGAACTAAGAACTTCTGAAGCCTAGTCCAGTTCTCTTCCCACAAAATCAAGTCATTTACTTCTCTGCAGCCCCTTCCCCTTGCCATTGTGGCTCAGCTGGTTGGAACACCTCTCGTAAACTGAAAGGTTGCCCATTCAACCCCAGTCAGGGCCCATACCTGGATTGCGCGTTTATCCCCGGTCAGGATGCCTATGAGAGGCAACCAGTTGATGTTTTGCCGTCACACTGATGTCTCTCCCTCCCTCTCTCTCTCTCTTTCTTTCTCTCTCCACTCCACTTATTCTTTCTCTCTAAAAACAATGGAAAAATGTCCTCCGGTGAGAATTAAAACAAGTTTTTTTAAATAGCTCCCTTCAAAATGAATGTATTTAAATTTCCAGTTGGAGCCAGTTTAAGAATAAAAAGACAAATACATTTTTAAAGGATAAAAACAATAAAGTTAATGGGTATAAAGTAATGACTCCTGTTGCTTCCCTGCACACCATAAAATTCATCTACTCATTATCCCCACACAGGAAGAAAAGCAAAAATAAACTGAAAAGTAATAATGAAACAAAAATTAAACTTCAATTTTTAAAAATTTATCAGAGGCCTTAAAAATTCTAGTGCCCAATCAGTGTTGCCCATTCCACAAAAAGATATCCAAGAAAATAAAATATCCTACTCTATTTCTGGCACTTAGGTTTAGTACACATAAATTGCTTCAGTATTTCTGAATATGGTTCTCTAAGCCATTAGGAACATGGTCTAAATGAATCAAATCTACCTAAGCCAGATATTGTGTTCAAACATCTATATAAAAGCAATAATCTTGGACTATGTGTTGATTATATAAATTACACTTTTTTGCCACAATTCATTACTTTACAAAAGTTAAGCCAATTAATTTCTCTATACACAAAATGAAACTAAATTAACCAGTTAACCTATATATTTTCAGTATCAGAATAATTTGCATTTGAAGCTCAACAAACATCCATTGAACATCTACTATCTGAAAATATGTCCACGACTATAAAAAGTAAAAATACATAAGCCTGCTTAATAGTGTCTTTTATATTAAATCTAAAATATTTATTGAGTTACTAGCACATAACAAATGTATACAACAAATAAGACATAGTTTCTAAAGAAGCTTACATTTGTATACAACATCACTGGAAAGTTAAAGAGTGCTCATTTCCTCAGTAACTCATTCAACAAATTTTATTGCGGGCATAAGGGATCAGTACCTGATCTAGGTGCTACAGATATAACAGTGAAGCAAACAAAGCCAGTGTTTTAATGAAGGTTACAACCTAACAGATGTGACAAACATTAAATAAATAAACAACATGATGTCAGGTAGCAATAGGTAGGGAATGTAGTATAATCAGGTATGGCTTTACTGAGGGGAATTCTGAAAGCAAAGGAATAGCAGGGGTAAAAGTCCTGAGGAGAGAACATCCTTGTCAAGCTGGTGCATGTGGCTAAAACAAAGTGAGCCAGGGAAGAATGTAGGATAAGGGCCAGAGGTAAGCCATGGTCAGGTTATTTAGCGTCTGGTAGACTATAACTAGGATTTTGGATTTATAAGTATGATAGGAAGTCATTAGAGGGTTTAGAAAAGAGGGAACCTTATGTTTTCAAGGAATAATCTGGCTGTTCTATAGAAAACAAATTGCAATGAAGAAACGAAGAATACAGAAAAACTTGTTTGTTCAAACACCAGTCTAGATGTTTCATGAAGATAAATTTTAGATGCGATTAACATTTAAATCAATAAACTTTGAATACAGCAGATTATTCTCCATAGTATTGGTAGGCCTCATCCAATCAGTTGAAGAATTTAAGCTCAAAGTGCCGGTTGGTGTGGCTCAATGGATTGAGTGCTGGCTTGGGAACCAAAGGGTTGCCAGCTTGATTCCCAGTCAGGGCACATGCTGGACTTGAAGGCCAGGTCCCCAGTAGGAGGCGTGTGAGAGGCAACCACACATTGAGGTCTCCCTCTCTGTCTCCCTCCGTTCCCTTTTCTCTAAAAATAAATAATTAAAATCTTCTTAAAAAATAAACTCATTTTAAAACAATTTTTTTAAAAAAGAACTTAAGAGCAAAGTTTCCCAAAGAAAATGCACTTCTGCCTCCACAATGCAATATAAAAATTCTGCCTAAGTGTCTGGTTTTCAACTCAAATCCTCAACATCAACTCTTACCTGAACTTTCAGCCTGTCAGCTTGCGGTAGAGATTTTGGACTAGCCAGCCTCTCTAATTGCCTGAGCCAATTTCTTCAAAATCACTGTGTGTGTGTGTGTGTGTGCACGCGCAGGAATACATGTTCTATTGTTCCTGTTTCTCCGGATAACCCTAACTAATACAAGAGGAAAAAGATATAGGAATAAGATATAGGGACATGAATTGATTTAATCACAGGTATTCCTTCTAATTGGAGGACTTCATAAAAAGAAATAACATTTGATTAGAATCTTAAAGGATTTGTTTATTGATTAGTTCATCAAATATTGAACTCTGCTGAGTGCTGGGGATATGGTAGTAAAAAAAATTAATAAATAATAAGGAATCTGTGACTTATGGGTCTTGCATTCAATTGAGGGGAGAGGTGCTAACAATGTAAATAAGTAAATTACATTATATGTGAAGATGACAGTTATAGAGAAATATAAAGCAGAGAAAGGCCAATGGGAAGTGATAGGTGTATGATGTGTAATATAAAATACCACTGTCACATATTTTGAAAAGGTGTAACTTAAATAAATATTTAAAAGATGTTAGAAATGAGGTTATAAAAACATTGTAGCCAAAAGAAATAGCTAATGTCCTGAGACAGGAACATCTGGTTTTTTCAATAAACGTAAGTAGGAAAGAGAAAAAGGAAAGGAAAACAAGCGAAAGACAGGATCAGAGCGAGGCCCTGTTGTTTGGGGCCAGAAGGCTATTGTGAGGGTTTGGGATTTTGTTTGGAGCGCTACGGGAAGCCATCAATCGGAAGGTTTTGAGCAGAAGAGAACATGATCTGATTTACATTGAACAGAATCACTCTGGATGTTGTGTGGGGAACAGTATTTAAATATTTGAAAATGAAGGTAAAGATACATAGAGGCAACAGGTATGAGGTTTTAGAAATACCTTTATTTTCCACTAGATTTTTTTTCACATTTAAGTCTTAATTTGATATTTTATGTTAGTGTAAGGAAAAGCAAGAGATTAAATCTTACATTTTTCCATAGGAATTATCTGAGAATGTTATTTAAAAAGTCCAGGATGCCTAACTCATCAAAAATGCCATCTCTGTTGTATACAAGACCAGGGATGTAAACATGGATACTTTTTGACTTTTTATTCTCTTCATTTTATCTATTTCTTCATCAGTGGTCTAGTAGCAAAGACTTCATATCACATAGTTCATATTCTCTGATCACAAATGTAATGAAATTTAATCAATAACAACAAAACACATTTGGAGAAACTTAACAACATACTCAATAAGTCAAAGAAAAAGCCATAATGGAAATTATGAAATATTTTAAGTAAATAACAATAAAAGCAGTATCCTCTTGAACCTTATGAGTTACAGATAGCATCACAATTCAAGGGACATTAATAACTTTAAAAACATATATGAAGAAAGAAAAAGAAACCTCTTTCTGATTTCTTGACTTCTCTTGGATTAAGTATCCTTCATTTGTCATTTTTCCCTTTACTGGTTTTGTATCCCTCCTTCTTTTAATAGCTTTTCTTAAATCTTTAACAGTTGTGCATCACTTAACGAAGTCAAAGGTACTCAATATTTTACTCTTCTCCCTGCAACACAAGCACCTTAGAATAATTCGCCTATAATCAATAAGTTCTCCCATCTTCCACATGATGTTTGCCTGGTATTATGTTCTACCTTGCATTTAATCTCCTCTTTCCTTGAAGACTCTTCCTCTGGTATCCACATGCTTCCCTCTTGCATCCCCTTCAAGTATTTGCTTAGAAGTCACCTTCTTAAAGTTACCCACACTGATCACCCCGTTCGAAATCACAATCAGCAACCCCCACCTCTACACACACCCAGTGTTCCAAAACTCCTTAGCGTGAATTTATTTTGTCCATAGATATTTTCACCTTTTTATCATACTATAGAAGTTATTTATTATGTTTGCCATGTATCATCTGTTTCCTTAGGATTCTAATTCTAAGCACCAAAAAAAAAAAAAAGAAAGAAAGAAAAAAAAAAAAAAAGCCTGGTCCAGAGAAGACACTCGAAATATTTAAGTATACTAAAGACTATATACAATCACTCTGACTGCTGTCTTGTGACTAGAATACAGGATGGTCAGAGTGGGCGCAGGAAGTCCCTCTAGGGAACTATTGTAATTATCCATGAAATCAAGGAGGAGCCATTTCAAATGGGAAGCAGTAACCAAGGTCTGAAAATATAAAGCCAGCAGAATTTGCTAAAGGACCAAATCCTCCAAAGTTTGGGACCTGATAAGAGAATCAAAAGGATGGAGCTGCTATTAACTGAGGTAGGGAAGATTGGGGGAGGGCCAGGGTTGGGGTGTAGGTATCAGAAGTTCACTCTGCACAATGTACGCAATGTTAAAGTCACATACATTGCAATTCTCCATTAGCAGAGAGTAAGCCAGAAATATTTTCTCTGTTGTTCAGTAGAATTTCCACTAGGAAACGTACTTTTTCCCATTGCATAATTTAATTTTCCAGTTTCTACTAAAAAAAAATGATGAGTAGTTGCATCGAAGTCACCCCCTCCTGCCCCCATGTGGAGGTTAATTCCCTACAGTAGTCAGTACTTGTAAATATGTTTCCACTTGAATTATATGGCACTGTCAACAACCTCATTATCAAATAAGAAAAAATATATTTGAAATAGAAATACTGAAAAATTTCATTTAATGTCACAGAAAAATACTGATTTTGTAGTAAACAATATAAGTGATACCATGGATTTAAAACATTCAGCCAAATAAAATTGATTTGTATTACAATGTAAGCAAAATCAGCAATTAAATGCTCTCTGTCCTAGATTTTAGCCCAATTAAAGCAGTCTTTTATTTGAACTAAATAAACCAAAACCTAGTCACCAAAACCATAAGTCTGTTTCAAACTTAAATATCAAGGAGATTTTTGGCCAGAAGAATTAATTGGCTACATTTTCCACATGTATATTTTTATCTTTTTAGACACTCTCTTTAGATAAGAAAACAAGCAGCAAATTATTAAATTATTAAGTGTTTGACAAAATAGTAAGTTATGATGACACTGTGTCATAGAGTATATTCTAACTATATCCACAATCTTTGAGGAAAAAGGCAATCTTTGAAGTTTTTTTTTTAAACAATAAAAATAAAAACAATACACAGAGTCTGGGTCTATGAAACTAACAGCGGGTTTTGCACAGGCCTGGTCCACTGTCAGCATCTTCTGCTATATGATCCCTTTTATATAACACAGTGCTGCCTGCGTGTTGCAGTCTAGGTTGCCATCCAGACACCCTTCCCAGTGATTCCAGATTAGATCCACAGAAAGTGCATTCAAGGCGGTTTAATCTCTGCATCAGAGAGCCATTCGCAGCTTCCTCCTGTAGCCCATGGCTTTCTGGACGGCTACTCCTGCAGCTTGTTCTACCTCGGTTCTGGCCCCGCCTGCTGCACATCCTGGGCACTAGGCTCGAGGCTGTGCCGGAGGCTGGAGCCAGCAGAGAGCGTGGTCCCCAGGGGCCAGGAAGATTGGCCTAGCCGTTAGGGGTCCGTGCAGCCAGGGAATCCTTTGCGTTCCGCCATGGTTCTAAGGAATGAATTAAGTTGCTTTTGGACTTTAGGTTTCTGTCTGGTAGCCAGTAAATCGTCTCTCAATGTCCCATCCATCAAAGACCGGAGTTTCATAGACGCCTGTGTCGCTGCTCACAATGAAATGCGCAGCCAAGTTCAGCCCCCCGCGGCCAACATGAAATACATGGTGAGAAAAACCGGGCTGGGATCTTTTCAGGTTCATCCTAAGGTGTCTTGGTGATTCATTTTATGGACGCATTTGTATGAATTCACTCAGCATTCCCTTAAAAATCACACCTTGGCTGACCTGTCTCCTGCAGGGTGGCGATAGAAAGGAATGAGAAAGAAAATCTTGATGCTGATCCTTGCCTAGACTTAAATATGTGTGTGATTACATACAGGATAGGAATTTCTTTTTTTCTGGCATGGATTTATGTTACTTGGCTTTTTGATCCATTTGAGTCTTGTTTTTAAAATTTGTAAGGCAGGACAAAAGTAGTGGTTGAGGATAAGAATAATTATCTCCCTCTGTTAAGGAAAGATTCTTCTGAGTACTCTACACAATTCCCGAGATTCTGAGGTTTTCCAATATTGCTAGTGGGAAGAGGCAATATTCCCAGTATTGTGTAAGTATTAGGTCATATGCTTTTATCCTTTTGAATGGTTCATTCCTTGGCCTTGGGTATGTTCTTCATATGTGTGTGCTAATCCATAGTCTGTGAAATACTCATCTTTGAGCTTTGCCTTGGTGCAGGTCTCTCCTTTCTGGTGTTCTGGTACGGCCTGGGCAATCCCAGGGCTCACCGTGTTGGTTTCCCTCCTCTCAAAGATCACTGGTCTTTATTGCCTGATGTCATATGTCTTGACAACTGCTTTTTCAAACATGGATTTAATTTTTATTATTTCAAGTAAGAAAGTAAATTTAGTCCTGTTACTCCATCTTGGCCAAAATTGGAGGGCTAAGTCTTCAACTGTCACGAACTACTGAATCTTACAGGAAAACCAGGCACCTCATTTTATATCAACTTCTAAAATAGAAAAGATAGACCACAATGTGTTAACAAATAAACTTTGAAATCATGCGAGCTTTTTATTTTTGTTAACATATAACATTTTATTAAAGTATAGAACATAAAGATTTAATATGTGTGTATTGCAAAATGTTTACAGTAAGTAGTTAAGGTCCATTATCTCACATAGTTATATCTTTTTCTGCTTATAAGAACTTTTAAGATCCAATCTCCTAGCAACTAGTAAGTTTCAAATGTACAACACAGAATGGTGAGCTATACTAGCAATGCTATATTCTACTGCCATAAACTTGTTTACCTTATAACCAGAACTTTGTACATTTTGAACACCTTTACCCTTTCACCTACTCGTCACCCCCAGATTCTGACAAGCACCAATCTGTTCTTTGTATCATGAATTTTATTTTTTAATATTCCACAAAAAGGTGAGATCATACAGTATGTGTCTTTTACTGACTGACTTATTTCATTTAGCATACAGATAATTTTTAAAACAACACAGGTTTAGCATCTCACTCACATTACTCTCCACATCACCTGTTCTCTATGCAGTGCCTTTGGTTTGTTTACATCTTGGTTCCATCGTGTCAGCATTTGTTCTTCAAAGGCACCACTGAGAAAGCTAGAGGGCTGCACAGCAATTTTATGATCAGACTCAGAGGTGATTATGCCATTCCCACCTGTATCTCTCGGGCCAGAACTAGTCTCGTGACCCTAGCATGCTTACCTTAAATGCCTCTACCACGGACTGCTTTTGTGGTCATCAAATATTGTTTTATTCCTTTCCTTCCATAGAAAGAACAAATTCAAGGCCTCCGTCAAAGGATAAAACACAATATTGTTCAGTTACTAAATCAGAGTCTGATAACATTGAGTGGTATGCAACGATCTCTTCAGCAGGGTTGGTTGCAGATACCCTTGACCATGTGACCGTGTGTGCCCTTCACATAAAGAACATTTAATGCTAGCACAAAGACAAGACAACTACAACAAACATTTCTATTCAGGACGTAGAGGAATAGGACCCACACAGCACTCATTGTTTAAGAGCAATTTTGAAATCTTTAGAGTAGGCATTATGAAGATCTGCTAACCTGGATGTCAGGAAAGTTCTTTCATTAAAGGTGACAGGAGTTCTCTTGCCCCTTGCCTTTTTGTGGTCCCTATCTTCTCCTTCTAAAATGTTCGTCCTTTTCCATCATCCTCCTTGGCCCAATTTTCAACTGAAAAATTTAATAAAAACTTAAAACTCACTGGATGGGCTCAATAGCAGAACCAATATGACAAGGGGAAAAAAAAATCAGTGAATGGAAAATAGAACAATAGGATACCAAATCTGAACAACAAACAATGTGGATTGAAAAAAAAAAAAGGTGAGCAGAACTTCGGAGATCTATGAGACGATAACAGAATATGTAACATTCATGGCATTGGAGTTCCAGAAGGAATGGAGAAAGATGGGGAGAGGGCAGAAAAATATTTTAAGAAATAGAGAGACCATCCAAAATTTGGGAAAAGACAAACAATAAATTTGAGAAATAACCAAATATGATGAGCTCAAAGAATTTCATGACAAGATACATCATAATAAAACTTCATAAACTTAAGACAAAAAATATCTTAAAAGCAACTGAAGAGATAAAACACATTAGCTAAAAGAGAACAAATTTAATGTCATCAAACTTCTCATCGAAATCCATGGATGCCAGAAGGAAGTGACACAACATTTTGTATTTTGATTTCAGTGTCGATTTCAAAGAAGACTCATCTAAGAATTCTACATAGAGAAAGTATACTTCAGGAATGAAGGTGGAATTAAGATAAACTCATACTCAGGAACTAAGATAATTTGTCATAAGCATAACTCTAAAAGAATAGCTAAGGAAAGATCTTCAAAGAGTAAAATAATGATAAAACAAGGACTCTTACAACATCAGGAATGAACAAAAGGGCAAAGAGTAAAAATATGAGTAAATACAATAAACTATTCTCTTATGTTTTCTAAATTATGTTTGACTCTTAAAGCAAAAATTACACCATTGTCTTACATGGTTCTTATATTTGTAGATATTTCAGACATTTTTTTCTATTTTGTTCATTTATTTTGTTCTTTACATTCCACATATAAGTGAAATCATATGGTATTTGTCTTTTTCTGTCTGACATATTTCACTTAGTATAATACTCTTTAGGTACATCCACAAATGATAAAATTTCAAGTAATATTTCATTGTATATATGCACAACCTTTTCTTTATCCAATTGTCTATTGATGATTGTCTATTACAGATTGCTTCCATATCTTGGCAATTGTAAATAATGCTTCAATTAACATAGGAAGGCATATATATTTTCAAATTAGTGTTTTGAATTTTTTTGGATAAATACCCAGAAGTGGAATTCTGGGTAATAAGGTAGCTGTATTTTTAATTCTTTGAGGAACCTCTATACTGTTTTCCCCAGTGGCTGCACCAATTTACAATCCCAACTACAGTACTTGAGGGTTCCCTTTCTCCACATCCTCTCAAAAACTTGTTTGTTAATTTACTGTTGATAGTCATTCTGACAGGTATGACATGACATCTTATTGTAGTTTTAATTTGTATTTTTCTGATGATTAGTAATGTTAGCATCTATTCATATGTTTATTGACTAGCTGTATGTCCTCTTTGGAGAAGTGTCTACTCAGGTTCTCTGCCCAGTTTTTAATTAGATTGGGGTTTTGTTGTGGTTGATGTATGGGTTCTTTTTAAATTTTTGATATTATTCCCTTATCAGATGTATCATTGGTGAATATCTTCTCCCATTCAGTAAATTGTCTTCATTTTGTTGATGGTTTCCTTTGCTGATCAAAATCTTGTTAGTTTGATGTAGTTTCATTTGTTTATTTTGTTCTTTCCTTTGTCTAAGAAGATATTGTATGTCAGAAAAAAATTATTACTAAGTGAAATGTCAGAAAGTTTACTGCCTATGATTTTTTCTAGGAGTTTTATGGTTTTGAGTTTTACATTTAAGTCTTTAATCCATCTTAAGTGTATTCTTACATATATTATAAGAAGGTGATCTACTTCGAGGTTTGTGGGGGAGGGTTTGTTTTTTGTTTTATTGCATGTATCTGTCCAATTTTCCCAACACTGTTTATTGAATAGGCTGTCTTTACCCCATTGTACATTCTTGCCTCCTCTGTTATTGGTTAATTGGCCGTATATGCCTGGGTTTATTCCTAGGCTCTCTACTTTGTTCCACTGAGCTATGTGTCTGTTTTTATGCCAGTACTATACCATTATTCCTAGGCTCTCTACTTTGTTCCATTGATCTATATGTCTGTTCTTATGCCAGTACTATACTGTTTTGACTATTATAGCCTTGTAGTGTATGTAGTTTGATAACAAGTAGCATGATACCACCAACTTTGTTTTTCTTTCTCTAGATTGCTGTGGCTATTTAGGTCTTTTATGGTTCCCTATAAATTTTAGAATTATTTGTTCTAGTTTTGTGAAAAAATGTCATTGGTATTTTGATAGGGATTGCATTAAATCTATAGATATCTTTGGGTAGCATAAACATATTTTTAAGGAGTATATTTAAGAAAATTGTATTTTTGGTGGAGTGAATGGTAAAAGGGCCTAAATAGAAGTATAGTGGTCCCCCTTTATCTGTGAGAGATACATGCCAAGACCCCAAGTGGGGGTCTGAAACCAGGGATAGTACCAAACCCTTTATATTGAAACTGTGGATAGTATTGACCCACGATACACACACACACACATTTTCTGTTCATGTCTTCCATCCACAAATTTATTGCCTTTTGCATCTTAACTAAGCACTCATTACACACTGTGGCCATAACTTCAGAGTTTGATGTGCAGCAGAAAAATTAGCAAAAATTTCTAATTCTTTCTTCATAATTTCATAAACAGAAGATTGATTTTTACCACAGGTTTTAGCAACTTCAACATACAAATTTAAAGGAAACATTTTAGAGCTTCTCTTTGGTGCAGCCAATTGCCAGCATTACTACCCTTGCACTTGCACTTTAGGGCTATTAAGTAAAACAAAAGTTGCTTGAAACAAGCACAGCAATTTTGCAACAGTAGATCTGAAAACCAAGACAGCCACTGAGTGAGTCATGGGCAGGTAGCATAAACAGTATGAATATGCTTGACAAAGAAATGATCCACATCTCAGGATGACATAAGTTTCCATCAAGCTACTCAGAACATCATGCAATTTAAAACTTATGAATTGTTTATTTCTGGAATTTTTTATTTAATACTTTTGGACAATGTTTGACCAAGTAACCAAAAAAAGTGAAAGCAAAACCACAGATAAGATGTTCTACTGCAATATTTCTACACTCAGTCAAATTGGTGAAATGCTAACACTAGTAATTTGTGACTAGTTACATATATTATGTAATACCTACAGCTAACCTATATACTAGGTTTATACACTAAAACACCTATATAAAAATATATACCTAAAAACAACTATGAATGAGTCAAAGTGAAATTCTAAATAATAGTCAAGTAATTCACAGGAAGGCAGGAAACTGAAACAGGGATAAAAAATAGAGGGATTAAATAAAATGTTAGACTTACACACTAACTTATCAAAAGTTAAACAAATAAACACACAAAGATGAGCAAAAAAAATGCTATGACCTAGAAATTCACTTTAAATATGATACAATAGGTTAAAAGTAAATAGATGAAGAAAAACATGTTACGCAAACAATCAAAAGAAAGCAGATGTGGCTTTATTAATATCAGATAAATAGAATTCAGAGCAAAGAAAATTACTAGAAACTGAGAATGTCATTACATAATAATAAATTAATCATTCTATCACAAAGAAATTATAATAACATTTTATGTGCCCCACACAACACATCTTAAAAATATAGGAAAGCAAGCTGATATAACTAAAAGAAGAAATAGGAAAGTTCTCAAATATGTTTGAAGATTTCAAGACTCTTATCTCAACAACCAGACAGAAAATCAACCAGGATATAGAGGAACTTAATACTATTAACCAATAAGAATCTAATTGACTTTCATAGAATGCTCCATTCAATGTCCATAGACTACACAATCTTATCAAGTGAGTATTGAATAGCAACTAAGATTGACCATATTTTGAACTAAGAAATGAAAACTCAACAAATTTCAGAGAATTAAAATTATATAGAATATGTTCTTAGGTCAAAATGAAATCAAAACAGTTATCTACAGCAAAATAACAGAAACTTTTTAAGTACTTGTAAATTAAACACATTTGTCAAAGAGGAAGTCTCAAAGAAAATTTAAAATTATATATATATTAAACAACATATTAAAACATGCAATGCAGCTAAAGCAGTGGTGAGAGGAAAATGTGAAGCACTATGTGGTTACATTAGAAAAGAGGAAAGCTCTTAAGTGGATAATCTAAACTCTACCTAAAGAAAAAGAGAAAAAAATATATATGCAGAAGAAAGAAAATAATGAAAAGGAGAAGAAATCAATGAAGTTGCAAACAGAAAAAATTATGGAATAAAAGCTGATTCTTTAAAAAGACCAATAACATAGACAATGGCACGAATTACCAATATAAGGAATGAACTGAGGATACCATTAAAGACCCTGCATATGTATACTATGAATAACTCTACACATACTTGACATCAATAGGAAAAAAAAAGTGAAGTTTAACCTAAACTTTATCCTTAAACAAAAATTAACACAAAACAAATCACATATTTAAATTCAAAATATTACACTATAAAACTTTTAGAAGAAAAGGAGGAGGAAAGTCCTTAGGTTCTGCAGGTCAATCACCTTGAATAGACATGACCCCACAGCCACAAGCAACAAAAGAAAAAGTGAACATACTGACCCTCATCAAAATTAAAAACTTCTGCTTTCTAAAATACCTTGTTAAAAGATGAAAAGACAAGCTAGACACTAGGCAAAAATATATGCAAACCACTTATCTCAGAAAGAACTCCTGTCTAAAACATATAAAGAATTCTCAAAACTCAACAATAAAACAAAAATTTGATTTTAAAGTGAATGAAAGACTGAATAGACATTTCACCATGAGGATAGCGAGATGAAAAATAATCACATAAAAATAGGTTTAACATCCTTAGCCATAAGAGAAATGCAAATAAAAGAACACAAAGTGATATTACTACACACCAGTTAGAAAAGCTAAAATAACAAAATAGTGCAATACCAAACACTGGAAACTTTGTGGAGAAACCACATCTGTCATACTTTGCTAGTGAGAATGAAAAATGGTACAGCCACCTGAGAAAATAGTTTGGCACTTTTGTTCCAAAAAACTAAATGTACACTTACAATATGATCCAGCAATCACTCTCCTTGGCACCTTTTTCTTTTTTCCTAGAAAAAAGAAAACTTATTGTTGCACAAAGACCTGATCGCATATGCTCAATACAATTTACTTGTGTGCTAGTGTGCTAGGAAACATCCAAATTTCCATCAGTAGGCAAAGGATAAACAAACAGTGGTACATCCATACCATGGCATACAATTCAGCAAGAAACAGGAATGAACTAACAACACATCAAAGTGTGTATGGATCTCAAGGGAATTATGCCAAGCAAACAAAAAGCCAGTATCAAAATAGTTGCATACTGTGAGGTTCTATTTATATAAAATTCTTAAATTTATAAAATAATAGAAACGGAGAACAAATGAATGAATGCCAAGGTTTGGGAACAGGGTGGTAGAGTGAGTATGACTTTAAAGGATTAGCAAGAGGAATCATTTAGGTGATGGAAGAGTTATATGTATCTTGATTTCAGCAGTGGCAACTTCAATTTACACATGTAATCAAACTACATACACAAAAATATATGCATGTAAAACTATTGAAATCTTATGACCTGTTGATTGTATCAATGTCAATTTCTTGTTTTTGATTCTATTATGTTAATAGTTACATAAAACATAACCAACTGGGAATCTAGGTGACATTTATACAGAACTTCTCTGTACTATTTTTGTGATCTGCTGTAAATCTACAATTAGTTTAATATAAAAATATTTTTTAAACCACCTTGCCAATAATTGCTACATTAATAGCTACAATTATTAATAGCTATGATTTTTGTCAAAAATTGTTTCTGGTCTCTACACTCTTCTATTGAGCTATTCCTTGTGTTAATACTATAATTCTTAATACAGCTTTATGATGCCTTGATATTTGGTCAGGTCTTTTAACTTCATTTTACTCTTTAAAGGTTGTCCTAGCTATTGTTGGGTCTTTGAGTTGAATTTCCATATAAATTTTATAATCAATTTGCAAAAAAAAACCTCTACTTGAATTTTTATTAAAAGTGAATTAAAGAGCAAGGTTAATATTCTTTGCAATATTGAGTCTTTCAGACCATGAAAATTATTTATCTTTAGATTTATTTAAGTCTTTTACATTTTCTCTTAGTGATGTTTTATAGTTTTCAGTATAGGGATCTTTTTATATAATTCATTTATTTTATTTATAAATTTCATATTTTTGATGCTATCTGCTTCCAGAGTAACATGGAAATACAGTTTTGTATATCTTCCTGGTGTCTGGCAACCTTGGTAATTTTACTTCTTACAATCTAGTTTGTGTATTCATTTGAATTTTCTGTTATGCAGTTTTGTCATCTGGGAATAATCGTAAATCCCAATCAATCATTATGTTGCCATCACTAGTGAATTATTAATAAAGCAAAAGGGTGCAAAGGGAATAAATTGGGGAGCATGCATCTGTTTGCTTCCCCAGGAAGATACAGTTTCACACTCCAGGGGATTACAGCATTTCTATGCCAAGGAGATTAACACTCCTCCCTTCCCATCTCCCATACACCACTGCCTGGGCGGAGAAGGGGGAGGCAGAGACATGCACATTGAATTCAAAATGGTGCAAGGAAGGTGCATGACCAAAGAGAACTGTCAGTCTAACTAGAAGGTGTGAACACATCCAATGCCCACAAAAACTTGGGAAGTTGATTGGTGATTTTGAAAAAACACCCAGTCCATCTCAAACCCAAGCTAATTATCACCTCAGGGAGCTAAGAAGCTCTGTCTCTCCCTTGCTTATGACTGCCTCTTGCCCTGTGCATTTGCATCCTCTCTTGCTCTGAAGCGTGCAACCATGTGGGTATAGCATCTACTGGAGCCCACAGCAGATGGCATGGGCTCCAAAAGGACTAAGTTTTAATATGAAACAGAAACACTGGCTTTTGCTTTGCCCTTGTTGAGGACAGGGTTGGACTCTTCCCATAGCAGGAGAGACAAACATGGAAAATTGGAAACTCAGGGGGCAGCTTCTATGTCCACCTAAATAAACCATGCCACACCATAACCTCTCACATGTGGCTCCTTAGAATGCTTTCCTCACGGTTTCGTGGAAAACTAATTTCCACTGACAACAGCTAGACATTTTATATCTCTTGTCCTATATATTTATAACTCACATATTTTATATTACCTAAACTCCAATAAAATTTTAAATAGAAATAATTAGACATCTTCACTCCCAGTTTTTGGTGAAAGCTTTCAATATTTCACCGTTTTTTGTATTAATGCTTCCTCTAAGGCTGGATTTACCTATATATAGCTACTCTTGATCAAATTAAGGGAATTCTATTCCTAGTGTGCTAGGAAGATTTTCCCTTTTTAATTATAAGTGGGTACTCATCCTTTACTTATGATATGTTTGCATGTCTTCTGAATTACTAGGCTGTGAACTTTGACTTATTTAAATCACATTCAAATATTCGCTAACTGCCTAGACTGTACCAGGCCAAAAACGGACTGTCATGGAGTGGGTCACCAAGGGTTTCTGAAGTACAACTAAGAAGGAATAACTAATGGCGAACATAACAAATGACAAAGGAAAACTGTACTTTATTAAAGTGAAAATTTATACAAAATTTAATTGATTACAATAATTAGAATAACTTTAATGCAAAAAATGCACAATTATTTAAGGTTATCGTGCAATTATTTAATGCACAATTCAATTTAAATTATTTTTGTCTTTCAGACTTGGGATGAAGGTTTAGCAAAAGTGGCAAAAGCATGGGCAAACAAGTGCAAATATGAACACAACAGCTGTTTAAAAAAATCATATCAATGTCTTCCAGCTTTTGAATTTGTTGGAGAAAATATCTGGTTAGGTGGATTACCCATATTTACACCGAAATTTGCTGTTGCTTCTTGGTATAGTGAAAATAAATTTTACAATTATAGTAATCTACATTGTTCTAAAGTTTGTGGCCATTATACGCAGGTAAGTATTTGACATTTTATTCATTATTTCTTGTTTATGTACATTTCAATCACAAGACATGATTTTAGCATTTTCTTTTGAGTTTCTGTTGTATATCCTAAAAATTCACCTTTGTTTGAAGGATAGTTTTACTGGGTGTAGGATTCTGTGGACCTTTTGTTTTTTGAACTTTAAAGATTACTTTACTGTCATCTCAATTCATTAATTCCAATAAGTAATCTACTGTCAACCTTTCATTTATTCCTGTGTACATAATGTGTTTTTTTCTCCTCATTAACTTTAAAATTGTTTCTTTATAACAAGTCTTGAACAATTTCATAATGTACTGAAGTTTTCTTCATATTTTTGTGCTGCAGTTTACTGAGTTTCTTTGCACTGTAGGTCTATAAATCAAATTTTGAAAAATGTTGGATATTGTTTCTTTTTTTATAAATGCAAGCTTAAGTTTCTTTTTTTAAAGATTGTATTTATTTATTTTTAGAGAGGGGAAGGGAAAGAGAAAGAGAGGGAGAGAGAAACATCAATGTGTGGTTGCATCTTGTGCACCCCCTGCTGGGGACCTGGCCTGCAACCCAGGCATATGCCCTACACTGGAAATAGAACTGGCGACTCTTTGGTTCTCAGGCCAGCGCTCAATCCACTGAGCCATACCAGATAGGGCTGGATATTGTTTTTTGAAATATTTCTGAATAATCTGAATTTAAAAATCTCTCACTTCTCTCTTTCCAGAGTGCAGTCACCAATGTAGAAGGCCACTTGAATTTTCCTATGGTTAATTGATGTTCTCTTTTCTTTTTCCTTAAATTTTTTAAACTCTGTGATTAACTTCAGATAACCTTATTTCTTACCTAAGTTCTTATCTAAGCTCACTAATATTTTCTTTTCTATTGTTTAATATACAGTTAATGACATTTAGTTTATCTTTCATCTTAGATGTTAAAGTTTGCATCTCTAGAAGTTCGATTTTTGTCATCTTCATGTTATCAGTAATTACATGTAGAATATTTGATCTTTCATCTAGCTTTTTAACCACATGAGCTAGTTACAGTAATTATTTTAACATTTCCTCTGTTAACACTAACATCTATTTTAGTTCTGGGGTAGTTTCAATAGATTAATTTTCCCTCTTCATTTTAAGTCAAATTTTTCTGCTTATCATATTGGGTATGTTTTATTTCCCAATTTTGTAAATTTTGCCTTTTTGGAGGCTAGATTTATTTATATACCTATAATATTCTTAAATTCTCCTCTGGGATATAGTTAAGTTACCTGGAATTTGTTAGATCCTTTTCATTCCTGCTTTTAAAATGTTAAGTGGAATCAAGGCAATGTTTAGTTTGGGCTAATTATCTCTCACCAGTGAGGCAAAACTCTTCTGCATACTCTACCCAGTGCCCCAGAAATTATGAAACTTGCCAGACTAGACAGCAGGAAAGGCTCCATCCCTGGCCCAGTGTAAACCCTGGTACTCCTTCCTGCAGTTTTTATAAGTGGTTCTTTCCCAGGTGTAGGGTGGTTTATTCACAGACATGCTCTGTTTAGTACTCTGCTGAACTGATGATGGGGACCTCCTGAAGAGCTCCATAGCACTGTCACAGTTAGATTTTCACCACTGAAGTACTACTTCACCTAAACTCCTGCCCCCTTGGTCTTCCCAGACTCTCTGCTGTCTCTCGACTGTGTGAATCCATTGAGCTTCTCCTGGTTTCTCCACCACCACTTCCCCACCAGCCACCGCCTGGAAACTCTCCCAAAGCAACAAGCTGAGACAATTGCACAGCTCACAGCTTCTCCCCACCCCAACTCTCAGGGGACATTATCCTTTGTTGTTGTATGTCTAATACCTTGAATAACTTTATTTCTATAATTTTTCCAGTTCTTTTGGTTGTTTCAGGTGAGAGGTTTTGGATGAGAAATGGAAGTCATATTTTAGCCAAGCTCAACTTAGATATGACACTAGCTCCTAGGACATCCCATTTAAGCAAAAGAAAAAAACTCTCTTCTCCAAACTCACCCATTTGTATAAGTTGAATTAACATATAGCGTCTGAAAGCATGTCATTTTTATCAGAGGTGCACTGAACAAGAAAATAGCAGCTTTCATGCTCCTATTCTGTTAATCTTTGTCCAACAACAGGATGATGTAAATCAGGAAATCTTTCTCAGAGCAGATGTTTTATACAAAGGTTACAGTTTGGCTATTGCTAAGAAATAGACAAAATGGGCTCAAATGTCACTGATAACAGAAGACTGTTAGCATGTCCTGATAACAGGAAGAATGCAATATTGATAACAGGCATAATGCAATATTCCTAATATGACATCAAAGCTGAGTCATGGCCTCTATGTAATCCTTTGCTTCCTTTTTTACTATAAGGGAAAAATAACCTGTTTTCGAACATCCCTTGTCCCTTAACAATGCTACAGCAGAATCCAGAGCTCATTCCTCATTGGCTAATTGACACATATGTTTAAACAATTCAGAATAGGTCCATTCTTCTTATTGGTTCAACATTTCTTGTCTTTGTATCTTGTTTAGTGTTCTAAAGGATATGTGGTAAAAATTTCTTATTGTTACCATCTGAAGATATTTGTACTGAAGTTACAACCAAAGTTCATATTTTTGTTACACCTAGTCCTTTTAATAAAAGCAAAACATTTTAAACCTATACATAATCAATATTTATCTTTACCATTCCAAAAGCAAAAAAAGCCACAGTTTAAGTACACTAAGAAAATAAAACTTCATGATGTAGTCAGCTATTCATAAACCAAATTTTTAAACATGATGTTCTTGAAAATATATATACATGTAGTCGTATAGTTCATTAACTTTCTAAAACATTAAAAAAGAATGGGGTATTTTAGGAATCTAGCTTAATCTCACTTTATTAAGTGGCAAACTAGCTCAGAATTGACTCGCCATTCTCCAAAGCCACACACATGGTTAGAGGAAAAACCCATCTCTTTTCTGTTCAAAATGTTTTTATTGTACTTTGCTGCCCCTCAGGCAAACAAAGAGGAATTAAAATATGTTTTGTAAAACTGTTGATTACAGCTACACCCAGGCCATAGGAAATAGTGACTAATTAATATATCAGTTTATAAATTGTGTCAATACGTTTTGTTAATTGGATTGTTAAATGAATGGATTCAGAAAATCCACTTGTGTTTAGAAAAATCTGTATCAATTTTCCTGGTTATTTTGTTTTCCAAAGTAGAGTATTTTTCCTTTTGTTCTTTGGGAATTGGAGGAAAACTCCATTCTATCCTTGTCACAAAAGAATACTAATTTTTTCATCTCTTTATCTCTCTCCCCTATAGACAGTTTTCCATAGAAATCTTATTCTTTTGAATAACTGCTATTTTTTACAATGAAACAAAAATATTCACCACTCTTATGGCAGGCATACTTTTTGCACAAACCCAATATGTTCTTAGTCGCTATAGCTATCTGTCTCTTGTGGTTTGGCAGAGATAGGAATATGGTTAAGATCACAAAATTTGAAATGTGATCATAAACTAAATAGAATATTTAGAGAAAAAGAAATAAAAGTTAATAATTGTTTTCATTTTAAGCATTGATTTTGACATTGTATTATATACCTATGGAGAAAATAAAAACATTTCATAAATCATCTAGAAAAAATTATTTTCCACTATGTATTATATCTTTTGATTTTTGAGAATTATCAATGAGGGAAAATTAGTTAGGTATCCCTTATGAAAGCAGTCTTTTAAAAATTGTTTTAAACTAAATGTTAGAAATTAAGAAAAATAGTCAATAAAAATTAATGTATATTCATTTTTATGGCATGACTAAGATTATAGTAATTCCCACAGTGCAATGTAGCATAGAGTTCTTCTGCATATTTTATTTAAAATTTTTTTTCCTTATAGGTAGTTTGGGCCAATTCACATAAAGTTGGTTGTGCAATTACAATTTGTCCTAAACTTGGGAGAGCTGAAACTTCAATATTTGTATGTGACTATGGACCTCCGTAAGTTATTTTGCTATTAAAAATATTTTATATTGAAGTAAGTGTTACAGATTGTTTCCAAAATAAGGTCTTACACTAAAAAGACAGTTATACATTTAATAAATAAAACCTCCCTCTATAATGCTAATCAAATGAAACAACTGAAAATAGAAAGTGGTGAGAGAATATTGCTATTGCCTTGTGTAAAGAATTATACCTGCCATGAAATATTTAAAGTTCAAAGTGAAAATGATGAACACTGTTGGTTAAGAAAAAAAACCCAGATACCTAAAATACATTTCTACACTAAATACTGGAAAACAAAAGAGGCTAGCAGGTGCTTTCCTAACATAATACAACAACTGGAATGAGCAAATGATTCAGAATGATGGTAGAAAGTACATTCTCCTAAGGAAAAAAATGCCATAATTTTTTATTGCTTTTTTGATAACTGTACATCTACTTGGAAATATAACATAAACCTAACGAGAGGCTCCAAAAATGAAATTCTGTAACTCTAACCCTAATGATCTGTACAAGAAAGAAGATAAAATCCTTTTACAATCCAACCATTTAACAAACAAAAATATTAAAATAAAATATACCAAAGGTGAAAACACAGGCATAAAATAAATATACAGGAATGGCTAAAAAAAAACGGAGATGTGCCAAAGTTGCTATGGAGAACAAATGTGTATATCTCTTTCTCTATCTCTCCTACTCACTCCCTCGGTTAGCAACCGAAATAAGTAAGACAAAAGTGTAACAAAAAGAAGAAAAACAAAGGACCAATGAAACAAATAGAATAAATAAGAAGGTGATAGCCTTAATCTTAACTATGTCAATACTCACATCAAATGTAAGTGCTACAAACACCCAAATGAAAAAGCAGAGATTGTGAGATCAGAAAAAAAAAATCAAGAACCAATTACATGCTGCCTACAAGAAGTATACTGTAAACATAAAGACACAAATACTTTAAATGTAAAAGGACAAAAAAAGCTTTACTATACTAACATTAGTAAAAAGTAAAGCTGCAGTATCTATATAAATATCAGATCATGTGAATTTCAGAGCAAAAACTGTCACCAGGAATAAAGAAGGCAATTACAAGTAATAGTGGAGTTAATGAAGAGTCAACTTGGATGAAGTGAACAAATTCCTCAAAAGACACAAATTACAAAGGAGAAGTAAAGTGAAAAACTAAAGTGAAGAGATACAGAGTAGTATCTCTTATGAACATGGGTATTTAAATTCTAAATAAAATTTAACAATTGAATCTAATAATATAGTAAAAGCACAATACACCTTGTCCAAAAAGAGTTTATTCCAGAAGTGTAGGCCTGGTTTAACATTCTAAAATCAATCCTTGTAATTAGCCGTATCAGTCAGCCTAAAAATAAAAATAAAAATCATATGATCATCTCACTACTGAGAAAAAAACATTCATTCATTCCTGATAAAAGTTCACTGCCAACTAGAAATAGAAGGAAACTTCTTAAACCTAGTAAAGAACATCTTTGAAAAACCTACATGTAATGTTATACCAAACAGTAACAAATTTTCTGTAAAGTACCAGACAGTACATTTTCTGTAAAGTACAGATAGTAAAAATGTCAGTCTTTGCAAAACATATGCATTCTGTTGCATATTTATCTTTGTGTTTTTTATTGTTTTAAATAACCTTTTAAAATATTAAAAAAAAATTCTTAGCTCACAAACCACAAAAACAAACCACAAGCCAGATTTAGCCTATGGACCATACTTTGCCAACTTCTGATCTATAGATTTATATAGAAAATCCAATAGAATTTATGAGAACTGTTCTACAACTAATTAGCAAGTTCAGAAATTTTTCAGGTTAAAAAATCAAAATATAAAATGCAATTACATGCCCATAAACTAGCAACAAACAATCATAAGTTGAAATAAAAAGACAATACCATTTATAACAGCATCAAAAACGTAAATTATCTACAGATAAATCTGGCAGAAGATATGAGTGACCTGTACACTGAAAATTACATAATATTCATGAGAGAAATTAACATATACACAAATGAATAGAGAGATATACCCAGTTAATAGGGTAAAAGACTCTATTGAGATGTAATTTTTCAATAAATTCATCTATAGATTCAGTACAATCCCAGTAAATATCCTGGGAGGTGTTTATCGTAAAAATTGACAAGACTTAATTCTAAAATTCATAAGGAAATGCGAAGGACCTAGAATAGCCAAAACAATTAAGAAAAAGAACAAATTGGAAAAACCGACACTGTTGTTTTCAAGAATTATTATAGCTAGAATAATCACAACATTGTGATATTGACATAAAGTTAGACAAACAGATGAGTGGAACAGAATAAGGAGACCAAAAATAGATCCACACATGATTGATCATATATGATTTTGCATAGATACACAAAGGCAATGCAGTGGAAAGGGATATTTTTTCAACAAATGCTGCTGAAACAATATATCATCCATATATAAAGAGCAAAAGTAAACTTGAATATACACAAACTACAACCTACAAAAATAACTCAACAGATCTTAGGCCTAAATGTAAAACCTAAACTATAAAACTTGTGGAAGAAAACATAGATAAAAACTGTGTGACCTTAACATAGCCAAAAGTTTTTAGGTACCACACCAAAAGCATGATCCATAAAAAACAAATTTACAAGTCGGATCACGTTAAAATTAAAAATTACAACTATTTGACTTCCTGTCAAGATGGAGACGTCAAAAAAGATTACAATTATTCAAAGGCAATGGTAAGAGAATGAAAAGATAAGCTATAAACTAGAATAAAGTTTTTGCAAAACCTATCAGAGAAAAGACTGTACTGAGAATCTAAGAGGAACTGTCACCATTCAGTATCATGAATATTTAAAACAATAAAAATGGATAAAAGGTTAATAAAGGAAATATGCAGATGGCAGATAAGCAATGATAAAACCTCAATATCATTAATCATTTAGAGAGCTACAAATTAAAACCACAATGAGTACTGTTACACAGCAATGTGAATGGCTAAAGATTGGCCATTCCAAATCCAGAGGAAGATGTGATGGAACTAGAATTCTCAACCACAGCTGGTGGAAATATATAGTGTCAAACTATTTTGTAAAAATAATGTGGCAGTTTCTTAAAAAGTTAAATATGCACCAATCACATGATCTATTTATTACAGTCTTAGATATGTGTTCACGAAAATGTATGTCCATAAAAAGACACATATAAATGTTGAAAATATGCATAGCAACTCTGTATGTAAGTAAAAAACTGGAACAACCCAAATGTCCATCAGCAGATGAATGGATAAATGAATTGAGGTTTATTCTTTAATGGAATGTTGATAATGTTAATAATGTTTTTCTTTGTGTACCTTAAGTAATACTTTTTAAAGTCCACAGGCACAGAGAAGGAAAAAAACCCCAGGGTTGTTAGAATGTAGAAGCTGATATTATTGAAAAGCAGGCATAATATCTGCCAAATGATTGACCAAATGGTATCATTTTTTGATACATAATGAAACAGAACTAGATAAGGACTATGGTATTGTGTTTCCATCTGCAATTTAAATTTTGCTTAGTTCATTTATAAAATACAGAGATAATCTTAATGTTTTACAACAAAAATAAAATCTGTGGCTGTTACATACATAATTACACTGGGTTCACATCTAATTTGTGTTCTATAGAATATTCAAGAATATATTGCCCTGGTCAGGTAGTTCAGTTGGTTAGAGTATCACCCTGACGACATGCCAAGGTTTCAGGTTTGATCCCTGGTCAGGGCCCATAAGAGAATCAACCAATAAATACATAAAGAAGTAGAAAAACAAATTGATCTCTCTCTCCCTTTCTCTCTCTACCTCCCTACTTTCTCTCCTTCAAAAACAATAAATAAAATTGTCAAAAAGAATATAACTTACTTTTAACAATACGCTGTAAAGTGCAGTTTTAACGTTTCTTTTTACAAAAGAAGTAAGCATAAAATTGGGACAGAAGTTATTTTCCTTTCAAAATTCATGACTTAGTAAGCAACCAAAAAAACTTACATAGAAGAATGGACAAAGTTAGAGAAATAAATAACCATTTGGCTACTCAATGTGTTTTTTTTTTTACAGAGGAAATTACCTAAAGACTCTCCCCTATATTAAAGGAGTGCCCTGCTCTTTGTGCGGAGGAGAAACTTGCAAAAACAAGCTCTGCCGTAAGCAAAAAGGGGAAATGAAAAAAAAAATGTAGCATTCTATTTGGAAAACAAAGTTTCCATAAATTCATTATATTTTCAAATGTAGCTCTCCTCAGGTTTATAGAGAAGTTATAAACAGGATTTGATTGCTGCTATATGGTGATACAAATCATTTGTGATAAATCTTGTTCCAGCTTGGTTGATCCCTCCCTTCTTTACTGAATGTTTTTCCTCTCAGGCTAAAGGGCAGAAAGAAGTGAGTTAGAACTTTGATCGAGTTTGCTGCTACACGGTATATATTTGCTGCTATATAAAAGACTATCAGTTGAAGTGTTTACTAGTATTTGCCTCCATTCTCCTCCTTTTATTAATTATTATTAAAATAGCAATAACAATGAAGTCTGAGGCCTAGTAGGTCTTCTCCCAACTTGTTCCTTTTCCAGAAATTATTTGGCTACTCTTGGCCCTTTGTTCTTGCAAATTAATGTTATGATAAGCTTATCAACTCCACAGAAGACCTTGAAATTTTGGTTGGCATTACACTGAATTTCTAGATAAAGTTAAGAAGAATTAACATCTTTACAGCATTGACTATATTAATAAAGATTGTTTATTTGGGTTTTTAAACATTTTTCAGTTAAGTCTTGAAATTTTCTTGCTAAAGGCCTTGCACATAAAATTAGATTCCTTAGTAACATGTATTTGTTGTTATTAAAATAGTATTTTAAAATTATATTTCCTAATTGATTTTTGCTGATTTATAGAAATATAAATTATTTTATTAGTCTACTATCCAGGAATATTACACAATTCTTTTGTTAATAGTTTGTTAACCCTCTTGGATTTTCTAATGTTCTCTATAAAAAATGTAAGTTTGTTCTGTCATCTAACCTGTATATCAGTTATTTATTTTACTAATATTAATAGTCGGTGAATCTTCCAGTGCAATATTGAACATAAGCTGAAATACTGACACCATTCTCTTGTTCCTGACTTTAAGGACAATGTTTCACCAATGTTTAAGGACAATGGTAGTTTTCTCTTTTCCTTATTTTACTTTGAGCTTTTATCTTAAAAGAATATTTAATTTTATCAGATTATTTTCTGCATCTCTTGAAATGACACCACATTTTTTTTCCTTTTATGTCTTCATGCTGTAAACTACATCAAAAGTAGTACTTTATGATTTTAATTTTAAAAAACTTTACTTGTGCTTTCAATTCCTCTTGAGTAAATACAATTTTTAAAAAACTGGTTTAATTCACTAATATTTTCAAATTATTGTAAAGAGATAGGCACATGGTGGTTTTTAATTTTTTAAATCTTTTATCACATCCTGTTTCCTTTTTCCATTTAGTTTATTGTTTCCCTTGTTCTTATTTTTTAAACTTTATTGAGATATGATTGACATGCAAAAGCTATACATATATTTAATGCATACAACTTAAATGGTGAAATTTATATTTTCATATAGATACTGGGGGGTAAGTTATGGGTAGAAATCCAATTTAAACTCTTTGAATCCCCAAATAAATCCAAATTGGTCATAAGGTTTCTTTTATAGGTGACTAGATTCTTGTTAACATTTCACTTATAGTTTTTTTAGACATATCATTGGCCCGAAATTTTCCTTCCTCATTTCTCGTATGATTTTGACTTCAAGGTTAAAGTACCCTCATTAAAAAAAGTTGAAAGTTGGGAGCATTACCTTTTTTAATATTTTGGTTACCATTTGTAAAAAATTCTGATTATGTTTTGAATATTTGGGAGTCTTCTGTAAAACAATCTTGTTCTGGGTTGTATGTGTTTGTACTTTGTAAATTACTGGTATAATTTCTTTAAATGTTTTATGATATTAAGGTTTGGTGACAAAATTAGCAAATTTCTGTTTTATATAAGTTTTAATGAAAATCTCTCTCATGTTTTTAACTGTGCTCCATTTGTTACTTTATGATTACATAAGTCCTATGATTTTTTATTTGTGCATTCTTTCTCTCTTTTGTTGTTGTTGCTCAGTTACTATGAATGCCAGCTTTTAGTCTTGTTGACTTCCTTTTTGAGAGTCAGGATATATAGCTTAATGGATAAATGCATAGGCCTTGCAGTGGGATGGCAACTCAGGAGGTGATTCAAAGCACTTAAGTATGATAAATAATATACAGTGATTTGAGCCCAAAACAAAGTAGGTTCTTAATGAATTTTAGCTATTACTTTAATTAAGTTCCTCATTATTTTCTCTTTTGGTCCAATTTATTTATTTATTATTTTGTAATCCTTACCCGAGGACAGTTTTTCGTTTCTTTTTAGAGAAAGGGGAAGGGAGAGAAACACCGACATGAGAGAGAAGCATCGATTTGCTGCCTCCCATATGAGCCACCCCAAGATTTTATGTGCCCAGGCTGGAGATTGGACCTGCAACCTAGGCATGTGCCCTGGCCAGGAATCGAAGCTGCAACCATTTGGTTACAGGATGACGTTCCAACCAACTAGGTCACACCAGCCAGGGCTGGCCCAGTTTATTTTTTGCATAATACTAATCATGCTCTGAATGATCATTTTTACTCATGTTTATTTATTTAGTCCATTTTTAAATTGATGATACTTTTTCTGTAAGGGAAAGAACTTTTGTTTTTCCTGATAACCATTATATCCATATCCAAAGGCTGGAATCATGCTCAGTACACATCAGGCACTCAAAAGAATTTATAAATGAAAAAATAATAATAAAATAAATGAGTCCCTAAAAAATTGCAGTTTACTGATAGAATGGTAAATAGGGGAGAAATATTTGATGGGGAAAAGATGTAGAGCAAGGAACCCTACAGAAATGAGCAAAATATTTGATGGAAGGCTCTGGGTACCCAAAATTCAAAGCGAGAGACTACCTTTATCAGGGACTTTAAATGGGCAATTCAAAGTGGCAAAGACCAAGTTACCTAGTGCTGGCTATGTTTGACTTCCATGCTCTCAACACAAGAGGCATTCTAGAAGTATTTGTGGACATGACATTGTTGTCAGGGAGTATCATACAGATTTTTAAATTTTAACTACAATGGGATTTGGGGAGGAAGCTTTCATTTTCTTAAGTTAAAAAGCTAAATTTTGTTTTTTGAATTGGTTATCTTATTCTAAAAGCCCTAAAATCAAATAAATGCTTTTAATTATATATATATTTTTTTCTATTGTAGGAAATAAAGAGCGTGATAAGACTCAAAGTACGTACCAAAATATTTGAGTATTGATTTAAATATTTCATTCCCTTGAAATTACATTGAGCTCTTAACTCTTGTGTTTTATTGACAGCATATCCGAATTCGAATATTCAGAGGAAAGCACCTCAGTGGAGAGCATGTAATCTACTGTGCCTCGTTTGTGTTCTTCTGAGGATGTTTTAAGTTTCATTTATGTACAAGAAGAATTCTCAGACATGACAATAAAGAATTTATGGCTAAATGTTGGGAAACGCCCTGTCTAGTTCCAGAAACTGTAACCCCGCCGACAGGCTGAAGGGCCCCAAGGCTGGAAATAATCAAGGAGGCCTTGGAGGAACAGGCCCCGGAGGAGGCATAACCTGCCCCGCTTGGCAGGGGCGTAGCTTCTGCCTCTCTGCTTTGCTCTATGATGGTCACTTGTTGATAACGGGTACGTTATCTCATGCAGAGATAACAACCTAAGTCAGACATCAATCGGTATGGGAGGCAGACTAGAAATTGAGGGACACGCAGAGAAGGCAAAAAAGGCCCACACCCCTCGGCTTGGCTTGGACTTGGCCAGAGTCCTCATTTTATCCGAAAGAAGTCTCCGTCTCTTGGTGGCTCCCTCCCCCCACCTGGCTCAGGCTCGAAACAATACCTGAGATAGTCCTAAACCAGATCTGGTGGTTCCCAGGGAAACCAGGCCTAATAGTAAATTCTTTAAAGTGTGCTTTGTTTTTCCCTCTAAAGCTATAGCCAGCTCCTGCTGGGAAGGAAATTTACATTATTGACCGACCCTAAACCTATATATACCCTTGTGTATATACCTCACTCTCCTGTTTAGTCATTTCTCTTGTTTACTAGTCTCCTCTCGGACACTCCCCCCCCCCCCCCCAATAAATCGGTGTGTTCTTGCCATTTGTTTTCTTCAAAACATCACCCATTCTCTGTGAACATTAACATACTGATGTAATGAGATAACCTGTGCATTTCTGTTACCTGGTCCCACTGATAACCTTTTCAATAAAAGCCTTTGAACAAAGGGACTCTGGGCCTTCCCCGCTAGAGGAATGTGCCACGTCCCATCTCTTGGCAAACAGAAGTGTTTGTGACGACTCTTGTTTATTCCCGCTGATCCGTGACACCCTTGGGACACGCTCTGTGGGATTCAGAGTCCCCGATTCCGTATCAGCAGGCCCCGGACAGTAACCCTCAGATCCCCGAGTGCCGCGCTCCCGGTGACGTGCTCTGTTATTTTAGCTCTACATTACAGCTAAATGTAAGTCTCATCAGTTTAATTATTAAAATTTTTACACTCTTGTCTGTTACCTAAATTTAATATCTGGTTTCAATTCAAAAGATGTATGTCAATATAGAAGGATAGCAGTTAAAAATATTTCAGCTTATTCATTTTAAATTACAATTTCATATGCATCGAGTCCCATTCTCTAATATTTTAAAGTCATTGTAGTTACAATAGACCTCCAGAACTAAACATTGCAGATATTAGATATTTTTACTATATGCCGGTAGTTTCCTTTAAGAATACTATCAATATTTTCAGAAAAAAAATATTATTAAGGTGTCATGTCATGTTATATTATTGTCATATATTTGTGGAAATGGATGAGAACAGAATATTCAAAAAGGGAAGTCAATTACATTTTAAAACTTTGATATGTAAAATTATGTTCTGAAAATTAAAATCAGTCTTAAGAGATTTTTAAAAAATAGGTCCTGTATAACTAATGCAGATAGTATAACTTTTAAAACCCTATAAAAAAATTATATGTACTATGCATATAGTTAACAACATCTTTACAAACCAAAGAATTGCTCAATTCTGGCATTTCACCTGAAAACAAAAAAATAAAAACCCACCTTATTATTTCATTAATACAGTTTTAAAAATCTTTTATGTTGAATTGTTGACTCTGTAACGGGGCACAGCCAGGGCCCCCACAAAGGGCATTTGTAACAGGGTCCAGAAAATGGGGTGTCCAAGAAAAAATATATTCTCCCCACCCCAGGGCAGGCCGCCATGGGGAATGGGAGCCTTGAGCAGGGCCATTTAGAGTCAGTTTGCATGTCAATAACAGGATAGCTTCATTCCTCATATGCAAAGAGGGTTATTTTGAATATCACCAAAGCTAATCAGGAAGGTTTAAAAGACTTAATACAGAATGTAACTGGAGACGGAAGGAAGAGACACAGGCACACACAAGAGAGACAAAGGGACCCAGACTCTGGGTAATAGTGTGAAGACCACGGGGAAAGCAAGAGGGGAGGAAGGACTCTTGCTACTGGGCCAGGAGAAGGTGCCACATGGTTATGGAGTAAGAGTTGGAGATTAACGCGACACAGTGGATGGTGCTGAGACCCGCGAGAGGCCTGCCTAGCCGAGCCCTGGACTTCTGTTCTTTTTCTTCTGAAGGACGGTACCCCTGACTGGCCTGACTGGGCAAAGGGGGAGAGGCAGGACTGTGCGTGAGCTGGTGATTGTTTTAAAGGGATTTTGAAGTTTAAGGGTGACATTTAGCCATTAATCAAACCTGTATAACTTCTGAATAAATAGTTCCTTTCCTTTTCACCAAACTGTGCCATTCAGAGCCATAATTCTAAGGGCGGCGGGCAAAGGACCTACAGCAGAGGGACCCCACGGAAGGGGAGTGTCAGTTTTGGTAAAAGCATCTGGGCACCGCCCCCTTCCAAGGGTCAATTTGTTTGGTAACAACTCCACCAACTTCCCTCAGTTATAAATATTAAAAATCACTTTTAGATGTATTTTTAACTGAGAGTTATTTAATATACATTGCCAAATACCTAGGCATTTCCATGTTCTCGGTTGATTGATGCTTTGTTAAAAATGAAACCAAGTATTTCAGAAAACCACCAGGGGGAGGTGGAGAGAGAGAGAGAGAAAAAGGGTGGAGGAGAGATTTTAAGAAATTAGTTTACATGAGATGGCAGCTAGCAAGTCTGGAATCTGTAGAACAAAAGGGCAGGATGGAGGCTCAAGTAAGAGTTGCTATTGTATTTTTGAATCTGAAGCCTGGAAAATAAGGCATAGTTTCTATTTTGCAATCTGAAAGCACTAATCCTTCAGGAAATCTCTGTCTTTGCTCTTAATTGATTGGACCTAGCCCATCCACATTACTACAATATCTAGACTAGTGTTTTTGATCAAACACTAGCCTCTATAGTCTAGCCACATGGATACATAAAATTAACACTGCTATTTGGTATCATGTAAATGAAGTCACTATCTTTTAAGTAAACTATTGCTATTTGTTTATCTATTACATTATTAAAATTTTAATTCATAATTACTCCTTAACTAGCAGTTTGAAATAGCTATAGGTAAATTAACATATATGGAATATACTTTTCTATTTTGTATTGTCTTCATGGATTTTTAACTAAACCTTTTCATTAATAATTAACATAGCCTCTGATTTTGTATAGAATTACTTCCTTCTTCAGACTCCTTATTTATCCAAGTACATGTAAGTTATTTTTATCAGGTTAACTAAAATTCTATAGGCCACATGAAAACTGAATTTTTACAGAATTATATTCTCTGATTTTGAAGAAATATTTGTCAAAGAGTATTAAATTGACACTGCTACAAGAATGAGCTAGCAGTGACAGTTCTCAAAAAATGGGTGTCCACTTGCACAGCGTTGTATCTACACTTAAGCTGTGAGCAGAGGCCTCTGCCTTACTACTGGAGTTTCCCTTCATTGACAAAAGGGGAAAATTTTGGACCAAGGAGGTATCTTCTCTTTCTTGTGATCATAACAACAGACTCTTGACAGGTTGACAGGATGTCTTGGGAGGCCTGGTATCACTTGGAATTCTTTCATTCTGAACAGATCTTATCCTTAATAGTGACTGTAAGTAACCCTCCTATTTGACTCACGTTGGATTCATCAGACAAACTGGTCTGGGCTTGGCCTTTTCAAATAAAGGAAGGCAGTTAACTCAGGGTTTGAGCAGTGTGATTTTCTAGGGATCTTTTTGTCCTACTAGACTTTGTTTCAAATTCCCAGAAATTGCCTAATTGCTTGGAGATTAAGTGATCAGACCTGTCAGTCTTAGCTCGGCCAGATTTATCCCATTCTTAACACTTAGGAGCAATGGTGAAGACGTGGTTTAATACAGTCCCTGTAGTCCTGGCCAGGTCGCTCAGTTGGTTGGAGCTTCGTCCTGTACACCAAAAGGCTGCGGTTGATTCCCAGTCAGAGTACTTATCTAGGTTGTGGGTTTGAACCTCGGTACAGGCACCTATGGGAAGCAACCCGTAGCATTAAGCGCACATTGTGTATATTTTTATAACAGAGCAAAATACACAAAACTTAAACCTAAAAAGATGATATAAAATGAATTTAAAAATAAGTGTAAAATAGATGTTTATGCCAATGATTGATATTGTTTGCTTGTACTTGCATCTTTACCACTACAATCTGCAATATTTTTTCAATGAATTTTGCAAGACATGATCGTTTTATGGTACTCGGCTTAGTTAAAACTAGGTAATATAATCTGCGTAAATGTACCCAGACTGACACACCACAGTAACAAAACAAACGAATCCCCTAACCATTGCTCCTACTGGAACTCACATTTTCCCTCAGGAAAGTGTGCTCCCTAGTCAAAAACACAGGGAACTCAACTGGAGTTGTACACATTGGATTTGCATCTTGAAGCTAGTGAGACAACACTGATTATCATTAGAATAATCCAGTAGGTATGTATTGAGAATGCATACTATTCTCACAAACGGCTAAATGTTAAAAATTTATTTTAATTCTTTTCAATATAAATGAAAATGAGGTATAATTTATTAATAGTATTAATTTTAAAATACCTAATAGTAAGTAATGTTTAAAATGTGCCAGCACTAAGTGCTTCATATATAATAATTTATATAATCCTCTCAATAATTCTGTGAGGTAAATGCTATTACTTTTTATTCCTTGAGCCAGTAGTAGACTTTAACATGTTTTCTTAAACTGAACTTAGATTTACTAATATATTTTTTAAGAGTTATTACGATAGTCCAGGAGAATGCTGTTCTTTTAGGGAAGATATCTAGGAGTTGCTGCATATATATATTACCTTACTGAATAAATACTGAGCTCAAGAATGCAAGAGTAATGCAAATTTAGGAGTCAGTATTTCATATAAATATTTCCAGATTTATACTCAATTTTATGGTTTGACTTTGGGATAGAGGCGGACTGTTGGGTAGTTCCTGAGACCACCTCTCAGCACATTATTTTTGGCTTTTTTTTTTTTTTTTTTTTTGTCCCTGTTCACCTCCTTCATTCGTTTTTCTAATGGTGCTGTATATTTTCTTGGGAATTTTAGATTTTTATTAAGTGTGCATTAATGGCACATTATATTTTAATAAAGTAAGTTCACCATCCTGTTAGGTAGGAGAGGTGGTGAACTAAGGCAGGGAAGAGGAGGGAGCCATGTCTCTTTACTCAGCAGTCCTGAGCCTGGTCTAATAAGACTGCCAGGGGTCCCACACATCACAAGCTGGGGTAACACAGGAGGAAGGGAGTCCTCGAGACCCTGTGCTGGGAAAGGGAGCCTCTGTAGCAATTTCACTAAGACAAAGAGTCTTTACTAACTGAGAAAGAAAGCTTTTGCAGCTGTGAATTATTCCCAAAGTTTAGAAGGGGAAGGAGGAGGAACCTAGGAATTGAACAAAGTATATAACCTCTGAACACCAATATAACTGAGTGCCCATTTATGCCTCAGCTCAATTGTATAGTGAGGTAGGCTCTGTCCTGCAGCGTTTTCCCAGATGCTGCTGGTGAAGAAATAAATTGTACCAGATATGATTTGTCTGTCAGGAAAAGGGGGTTCCCTCTAACGGAGATTGCCCCCAGCCCTTCTTTGAAGTGGCTTTTATTGAGAACAGGAATGCACAGAGGTATACAGCTTGCCTGCAAAGCTTAACAATACGTATCAAAAGGCTATCGATATTTAGATCGGGGTCTGTCAGTCTTGCGGGCTCAGGCAGCTTGTCCCTGCTGTGAAGGCAAACACCTGGTTTTTCCTTATCAGGGCAATGCAAAACAGAGCAAGCTTCAGTAATTATATAGCATTCTTTAGTCCAGATCTCCCAGGGTACCCTCGGTGTCAGTATCGGGTCACGCCAGCTTCCAGCGTTCCTAGTTTTCTAGTCGAGGCTTACAGGGCCTTTTCAAGTCCTAACTCACGTGCGGCTACAGTTCCCGATACCACACTAAGTGGTCCCCAACAGTATAGAGCAAACTTACTAACAACTTTATTTCCTCTATATGTGGGGGATTCAGACTATCTGGGTGCCTGCTTGCAGCTTTGTGCTCGTTAGGTGTTTCATAAATTTGCTGTCTCATTTCCAGTATATGCGTTTGTCTTTTGTTTGAATTCATCTCTTACAACAGAAACAAGGGCCGAGGTGGGTGGGGAGTCAGTCCCCTTACTCAGGTTTCCCCCAGGAAATTCCCACTTTTTCTCAGTTTTTCCAACTGTAAAATGGACATAATAATATCTGTTCCTTAAAGTTTTGTTCTTTAAATGAGTTCATATTTTCCAAGCATTTAAAACAGCACAGGAGAGTCAACGATTATACAGCACTGTAAATGTAACTGCCACTGAATTTTACATTAAGTACGGTTTAAATAGTTAATTTTGTTATGTATATTTTACAATAAAAAAAATAAATAAAACAGTTCCTGACACATAGTAAGGATTTTTGAAATAAATGTATTATTTACTAGTTTGTATTATAATTGTTTGATGATGGGTCTGGAATACCTTTAACTAAAAGCTTCATGTGGATAGATATATCTAGCTTGTTCAGCATTTGTAGCTCTGACACAAAGGGGATCCTAAAGAAATACTTTCTGAGTGAGGTTTCTAGCATTGGAATGGCCTGCCTGAGAGACGGTGACTTCATTGTTAGCGTAATTTTTAAAGCAGAGGATATAGTGATCACGTATCAATGTGTCAGAGAATATGTCTAATACACAGGACTAGTAAAAGTGTCTAAAATTTCTTTGTAGTCTAAGATTGAATTAGTCTGTTTATCTCATGCTTTACTGTAACAATTTTCATAATCTACAAACAGTATCAACATAATAAAGAAATTCCATCTTTCAGCGCTTGCCATCTTCACCCCTGAAATAGGCTGTGGTCATAGTAAAGCACTCTTAGCCTTTTCCACTCTCCTGAAAAAAAGTATCACATGCTTTTTCCTTTATTTAAAATGCACTATTTCACCTACCTGTGTTCTTTGCTTTCTTGATGTCACATTCTCCAGAAAGGCTTTGTATAAAAGTATAAAAGTTACCAATTTTCTAGGTCTCTAAACTGTAAGCTACTTAGAGGAGGGTCTAGGTCTCATCTATTGGTCTTTCTCAACCCTGTAACACATTCCCTGGTAATAAATATTTACTAAATGACTAAAGGCATGAATGAATCCATCTTATGAGGTATACTGCTTTCAGTTGTATACACCACAGATAATTTTAAAAAGCACATTTCTTTTTAGACATTTTGGCCAAGTGGTTACAATGCTTTCTTCATGGCAAAATTCTGTCCCTGTGTTAACGGTTTTGAATATCTCCTTAATTCTATCAAGCACAATATAGTATATGTAAATAGGACCCCCCCCAAACAAACGTGCTTTTATTTTGTGCCTAGAATTTATATTCTTCAAAGTAAGTTTTCTAAAGTGAAATGTTTGGAGGGAAAAAGCACAGGCTAAAATCTACTAGAACACCAGTCATTTTTGTCTGAAAGAAGAAATGAAAACAAAAAATAAGTTCTTACCTAATGTGAACCAATTCGTCAAGAGAAGTTTAATATTGATATTCCAGACTGTCCATAAAGTGCTGATGAGAGAAAATACGTAAATATTTCGAGCTTATGAGAATCTGACGATCCCTAGTTTAACCTGTAATGTTGAGCTTTCCAATATTCCATTTATTTTGTGGTATCCCACAAAAAATGATTAAAACCCTGAGCAGAAACCTCAACAAAGTCCACCTTAAAGAGCATATTTTTCTGTCCATGATGAAAATAAAGGGCACGTCTTGCATTAAATTCCCAACAAGTAAGGATGGAAAGATAATTTTCAACAATATCACAGAATAATTGTTATGTACCCTTGCATAATTAGGCGGCTCCTCAGAAATGTTATCCAGCAATTGACATTTACTGTACAGAGGGCTTATGAATAAATGATGATGTATCCTTTGGTATCAGAAATCAATCTGGATAATATCCAGCTACATTAATTAGTTTAGTGAAGAGCCTGCGCTCATTTGACTCAAGCCTTCCTGAAGTTCCACGGGCCAACAGCTAGGACCAGCTTTCCCTAGGATACTGCGCAGGCTTCCCCTCACGCTTTCCCTTCCTTTCCGAGAGGGGAGGGGCGGGGAGGGGCGCGGCCAGACTCAGTTTGGCAGCCCCATCCCCCGGGGGCAGGCTGGCGCATGCGCACTGGCCTGTCCGCGGCCGGTGTACCATGGAGGGTTCAAGGTCCTTAGCATTGGACTGGTATGTCCAATCGCTGCCTAAGACGCGAGGGGGAGATTTGAAGCTGTGGCTCTGTGAGCTCTGGCTTCTACTGCTGGCTTGTGGCATAAGTGCGAATTTTTTGCCGCACGAAGAGGACGTAAGCTTTATCAATGAATACGTGAACCTCCACAATGAACTCCGAGGCAACGTCATGCCCCGAGGGGCTAACTTGCGCTTTATGGTGAGGCCCTGAGGCGGGTGTGCCGAACCTCTCAGCCAGCCGGTGTCCCGACTCACTTGTTCGCCTTCACAAAGCCTGGGCCTCTGCTCTGAGGCTTAAGGATTGCGGGCAACCGCACTTTTAGTTGGGGTGTACACGTAAGGTTTATCCACTCAAGAAATAAAAACCTCTGTCTCTCTAACCTGTTTATTAACAAGATTTTGCACAGGGCGGGGACTAGGGTGAGTAGGGGTCCTCACCAGACGTGCAAAATTTAAGGAGGTTTCAATGAGAGAAAATGATAGTCGAATGCAATATATATATACACATATATATTTAAAATCAGTGCAAAAAATGTCATTGGTGAAGACAGTATCAATTTAAACAAGATCATTGGGCTTGAATTAGAAAGGCAAATGAGGCCTTCAGTATGGTGCAAGTGAAAAGTAAGATCTTGTTTTATTTAAAATTTTGATTTGTTTCATCATGGATTTTTTTACATTAGTTTTGCTTTTTAAAAATATTACTTATCTTGATTATTGAAATTTTTGGTATCCACCCTAAATTTTGTTCCCGAGGGAGTGTTTCAGTCACATCACCTTTGTCCAACCCTGATTTTGCATTCCTTTAAATGTTTCTTTCTTCTTTCCCATCCTCCCTCTGTGCATTTCTATTTAACATCTCATCAACTGTCTCCTTGTTGCTACAGTCTTCGTGATTGTCATTAAAAATGACTGCAAAATGTATTGAAATAACTATTATCAGGCAATTAGGAGCTCCCAATTAACTTTATAAATGTTACTGGAAGACTATCTCCGTAGACCTGAGTCTTTTCCTTCTGGGTTCACGTCTTAGGACGAAGTCCAAAGATGGCATAAATAAAGAATGTGTTATTTTTAATTTATGTGACACATAGAAATTGCTGCTCTTAAAGGGTTGTGCCAAAATAAGCAAATTCCAGTGGTGTATAAATGTTCTGTTTTTACCGCATTTGCACTGGCGTGGGGTTTTCAACCATCTGATAAACTGATAAATTGTAAAATGGTACTTCATTTTAATGTTAACTTTAAAATACTATTTTGATTGATCATTGATCATACTTTAGTTTTTTCTTGTTCATTTTCTTTGTCTTTTGTATTGTCAGTGTTTCCTCTTCTGTTAATATATTACTGAAATATATTAGGATTTTGCACTGTTGCTTAAGATAGTTATTTCCAAGCCAATTTTTGTTATGAATATCAGGGTATTTGGGGATATTTGAGAGTTTAAGCTATGTACAACCCCTTTTATGAGTAATTTTATTTTTTTCTAAGTTTGAAGATTAGCCTTCCTTCTGATAATTAATACACATACAATAGTTTATAGTACAACTTTTTATAGGTTATGTATCTCTAATCTCTATTATATTTCAAACAAAGTATAGAGAATAATATAGTAGACACTTGTGTACTTGAAATATATATCTTAACATATGAATATTTTAATAGGAATATTATATTGGAAGCAGTTTAAAGCTCCAACCTTAATTTTTACCCCTCTCCTCTTTCTAAAAGTTGGTGTGTTTTCCATTGATTTTGCTAGGATGTAAATATTAACTGTAAAGAGCATAATTTATTGTAATAGTATGGTCTCTTTAAACTTTTCCTTGAGAGATTTGAAAACCATACATTCATATTCATTTTTATTAGTCATTTCTTAACATTTTAATATGCATATAAGTTTACAAAGTCTAAAGTTAATCAACATCTCCTTTCAAATATAAAAAGATCTTGCAGCACAAATTCTGTCTTCTGCCCATGTCCATGCTGTTGTTGTCATCTAGTGTTTTTCTTCTACCTTGTTATTAAACTTAAAAAATTTAGTTTTTATTATTGTCGTAATATGCATAACATAAAATTTACCTTTTCAACCATATTTTAGTGTACAGTTCTGTGGCATTAAATACATTCACATTGTTGTGCAACCATTACCACCGTTCATCCCCTCAACATTTTTATCTTCTCCTATTGAAACTCTGTACCTGTTAAACACTAGCTCCCCATTTCCTTCTTCCCCCAGTTTCTGTCTACCACCATTCTGCCTTCTGTCTCTATGAATTTGACTACTTGATGTACTTCATGTAGGAATCATATAGCATTTCTTCTTGTGAATGGCTTGATTTCACTTAGCAATAATGTTTTCAAGGTCCATCTATGTTGTAGCATGAATCGGAATTTCCATTTTTTTAAAGATTTATTTACTTTTAGAGAGAGTAAGGGAGGGAGAGGACCATCAATGTGTGTTTGCCTCTTGAGTGGCCTCTGTTGGGGACCTAGCTCGCAACGCAGGCATGTGCCCTGACAGGGAATCAAACTGGCTGCCCCTTTGGTTGGCAGTCGGGCACACAGTCCACTGAGCCACACCAGCCAGGGCAGAATTTCCGTTTCTAAAGCTGAATAATATTCCACTTTGTATATATGCCACATTTTGTTTATCCATTCATATGTCAGTAGACACTTAGTTTGCTTTCACCATTGGCTATTGTGAATACTGTTGATATGAATATAGGTGTGTATACAAATATGTGTTCATTTCCCTGCTTTCACCTCTGTTGTTCATATACTCAGAATTGGAATTGCTAGAACATATGGAAATTCTATGTTTAATTTTTTGAAGAACTGTCATTCTGTTTCTTATATTGGCTGCACCATTTCACATCCCCACCAGCAATCTACAAGGGTTGTAATTTCTCCACATATTGCCAACACTTGTTAGTTTCTGGGAGATTTTATATATATATATCCGTCCATCTTAGTAGGTGTGGGAAGTGGTATGTCATGATGGTTTTGATTTGCATTTCTCTAATGTATAGTTATGTATAGCCTCTTTTCAGGTGCCTATTGGCCATTTGTATATCTTCTTTGGAGAAATGTCCATTCAAGTCGTTTGTTCAATTTTTGGTCAGGTTTGTTGGTGTTTTTGTTAGTTGAGTTGAAGAAATTCTTTATATATTCTAGATTTTAATTCTTTAACAAATATATGGTTTGTACATTTTTTCTCTCATTCCATAGCTTTCCTTCTCATTGCGTTGGTAGTATCCTTTGATGCACAAATATTTTTAAATTTGATAAAGTCTAATTTATCTATTTTTCATGTTATTACCTGTGCTTTTCAGGACACAGCCAAGATATCATGCCAAATCTAATGAAGCTTTTCCCCTTTGTTCTAAGAATTTTATATTTTTAGGCAACAGAGACATGAAACATGCTCAATATGACTAATCTTCAGGAAAATACAAGTCAAAACCATAGTGAGATGTCACTTCACACCTATTAGGATGTCCCATGATCAAAAGGACAAGCAATAACAAGTCTTGATGAGGATATGGAGAGAAAGGAACTGTTGGGAGCAATGTAGACTGGTGTAGTCACCTTGGAAAATATGTTGTGTATTGGTTTGATATGATTTCAATTCCACTTGTATATGACAAAAATGAAGTTGATTTAAGAGTAAAGTTGTTTTGACATGAGAGTGATGTGAAATGTGTTAGGATGTCATCATTTCATTGGTTGTTTTTGCTAAGCACCTTGGAGTTAAGCTAATAAAGGGTACTGCTGGAACTTATCGATAAAAAACACCTGAAGAAACAACTATGAAGGGGACATTTAGACTATAAATAATAGAGAGTTTCAGTCTGAGCAGGACCACTCTTTGCTGAGATGAATAGCTTCTTGAAAATCTTTGGGGCATCAGCTGTGACCACAGTAAAGGCTACTCTTTTACTAGCAGCGGCCAAAGCTGTGCAGTGGCCCTGTGAGGATCAGCCTGCCCATCAACACCACGACCATTGTACCCTAGCTACATGCTCTACCAACAAATGACTTTTTCATTTTCATTTTGGCAGCTGGACACCAGCTCTAGGTTTCTTAGCTGTATCTCCTGAGTACCAACTTGTAAAACGTATACCTCAACTAAATTTGAACTTTATTCCCTTCATCTCCATTTGCTTGGAACAATAGTGTAATTAAGCTATCATTACTTTAAAGTATGTTATTTTTACTGGCTTAGTAAGAGACATTATCATGTACTCTATTGGCTTATGAAACTATTATAATTGCCACAGTGAACCTGTGTTAAATACTGGCAAAACAAACTCAGACTCTGAGCATAGTTTTTCCACCCAAAACAAAACATGACAGTTCCTCAAAAAATTAAAAACAGAATTGCCGTAGGATCCAGCAATTCCACTTCTGAGTATATATCCAAAGGAAATTAAAAACAGGATATTAAAGTGATTACTACACTCCCAGATTCATGAAGTATTATTTACAATAGCCAAAATGGAGAAACAACCTGAGCGTCCATCATTAGATGACTGGATGAAGAAGATGTGGTGTATATATACAATGAATAAAATTTAGCCATGAGAAAGAAATCCTGCCATTTTCAACAACTTGAATGTACCTTGAGGTCATTATGCTAAGTGAAATAAGCCAGAAAAAAACAAAAGCTGCATGGTATCACTTATATGTGGAATCTAAAAAAAAAATTCTTTTAAAGCCTGAGTCATGGAAGTAGTAGAAAAGAAAGTATTTTCCAGGGGCTGGGGATAGGGAAAATAAGAAGTTGGTAAAAAAGGTAGCGGCTATAGTTGAAAACACAGTATTATATAATAAAAAAAAAATCCTGTCTTCAACTGGAATTTTATTCAAGGGTGAGCAAAGGAATTTGTAAATATCGTAACTTATTTTGCACATTGTCATGGAAAGGAATGAAGTAAAATACTTACAAACTTGGAGTTGAGAGTTAGACCTTCTGGGTTTAAATTCAGGCTCCACAGTGTATTGGCTATAAGTGGCTACAGGTAAACTACTTGTTTGATTTTAGTTACTTCCTTTGTGAAACAAAAAATAATAATTATGCATGCCCCATAGGGTTATTCTGGACATTAGGTGAAATAATGCATAAAAAACAAAACAGTAACTGGTACATAATAAGCATGGTATGTGTAAATAATATGCAAAATAAGGTGGTAAAATGTGGTTCATGGAACATTGTAAATGAGAAACAGTCTAAAAGGTCATTAAGAATGGAATGACATTTATTATATGCTATCCATACTATGCAGAGATTGCAAAAGTTAAGTAGAGCTAGTTGTGCTAATATGGAACAATCTCTCTAAGAGAAAACTGTAAGTTACCAGTCAATAGTGCAAGGAAAAAAAATCACAAAATACCCATTTCTTAAACAATGTTTACCTTTGGGGAAGGAAGTAGTGGGAGAGGGTATTCTAAAGGCCTGATTTGTATATTTTCTATAATACACTTTCTATATTGTATACAATGGGGGACCTCAAAATACGGAACTATGTTCTGGAGGGTGGGCCCCCTGTCATGCTGGCTTCCCCCACTAGGTAAGTGTTCTAAGAACCCATCTGTATCGTACCAGCAAGCATCATTGTGAGAGGCTGCGTTGGGCTTCAGTGAATTTTTTTTTTAGGACTTTCAACACCTTCACCCTTTTCATGAGGGGTGATTTAGGAGCGCACCTGTCCACACCGCACTGAGTATTCACCAGCTGTTGACCAAAAACGGCATGACCCGGTACCCCAACCTCCCTATCCACTTGATCTTGCTCCAAGTGTGTGACTTTTTTTTTGTTTCCACAATGAAAAAAGTTCCCAAAGGGAAATGTTTTGCCGACGTGGAAGAGGTGAAACAAACAAACAAAAAATGGCAGAAGCACTAAAAGGCACCAAAATCAAGGAGTTCAAAAACTGGAGCAGTGGAAAAAAGTCTTGATAGGTGTTGCATCAAATGGAGAGTACTTTGAAGGTGACTGAAGTTTAAACATGTAAAAATACACAATTTGTTTTATAAATAAATGTCAGGAATTTTTTTGGATCCCCCTGGTATGTGTATAATCCATGAAGTTAACTGAGAAAACCCTAAGGAAATCTTAGTATTAGTTTTCAGAAATGCTTACTTTTAGATATACTGTAACATATGTACTTAGCATTTTGGTTTTACAACTATTTTGTTGATTTCTCTGCGTGTGTTCTTTTTGTTTTGTCCTAAACTAAACAATGAACTTAATCAGGCTCTAAATTATGACAAAAGTACACATCAGTGGATATTTCCAGAGAGCGGCCTCTAATGAAATTTTCTCACATTTCTGGGAACATCATAAAACTTTATGTTCCTCTTTTACAACATTTATAAACTACCAACTGTGTGTGTATATGTGTGTATATACACATATATGCATACATAAAAAGTACCCCAAGTTATTATCTTACAGTAAGCAACTGGAGCACTAAGTTTATACTTTTTATGCATAACTTCATATTTTATTCCTCACAACAGTATTTTGCATAAAATCAGTGCTCAATAAGTAGTTCTTAGATGAATATTTTATATTATTGTCTTACTATGAATAAAAGGCATGAGATTAAAAACATACTGAAGAGACTACATATGAGTATTATACATTATTATACAGTTCTGAACAAACTACATGGAAGAGTATCACAATCATTTGCATCATCTAACAATCTCACTTTTTAATTACAAATATATGCATAATCTTTTGTCTCAGGAAATAGTTGTTTCATTTATGATTATCTTTAAAAAAATTTTCTCACAGAAATTCCATAAGCACAAGTAAGACCCATAAGCACAAAGTTAGGATTGTTTTTCTTAAACCTCATTATGAGAACTCAAGGAAAATAATTCAGAGCACACACACCAAAAAAAAAAAAACCCCAATAATTACTATTTTGTTTTCTTTCCTTTTCGCATTTTTTTTCAGACTTGGGATGTAGCTCTGTCACGGACTGCTAGAGCATGGGGGAAAAAATGTGTATTTGAGCATAACACTCATTTAGAAGAAATGAAAATGGCCCATCCTATATTTAACGGTATTGGTGAAAATATTTGGGTCGGCCCTGAAAATGAATTTACTGCAAGTATTGCTATCAGAAGTTGGTATGCAGAGAGGAGAAGGTACAATTTTGAAAATGGCAGTTGTTCTGGTGACTGTTCTAATTATATGCAGGTATCTAATTTTTATATTATTAATTCAATAGACTTCTTAATTGCCTTACTATTAAGTTTTTATTGATTTTTTCAGTTTTATAAATAAATTCAAATGGTAAAATTATTACTTCTAATAGAATCAAATTCTTATCAGTCCTGTGTCTTCAAAAGGTCTGTAATTTCATCTATTATGTGAACTATATAATTAAAACATTCTTTTAAATAGAGGAAATCTAATCATAACCAAAGATGAAAGGTACTTTTTTAAAAATAATAAACACTGGAAAAGGAAGTAAAGAAAATAGAAACAAGAAACCAAATTATTGACTATAAACATACTGTAAGTAAGACTTGATATTTTTTGCACAGATCAGTACACATACTGCAACATAACTGATGAGTTAAAACATTTAAATGCAAATTAATAGTAGTATTTCCCTACTTCATGTCTAACAATCTGCCCTTATACTTTATACTCCACCCTTATACTTTATACTCCAAAAATATTGAACCACTTGTTATTTCCTATATATACATTTACTATCACACATATCACATTGTTTAATAATCATCCACATGTGATACTACACTAAGGGCAGAGATCTTGTTATATGTTTATTCTAAACACAACAACATCACATAGTTTCGGTCTTCAATAAATATTTGTATTAGGGTGAACTCCCAACCTTATTTAAAATATGATTATTTTTCTGTCAATAAACTTTAATATCAGGTTTTATGTACAACTTTAAATACTTGAAGTTTTTCATGTCGAAGCCATATCTCTTTCATCAAATTAATCATGTTGCAAAACTGTGTGTTCTGTTTATTCTTATTCTGTGTAGTTAGAGTGATTTTCCAGTGTCTTACTCATATCAAAACTAGTCTCCTTAATATGAATTCATACTCTCAGTAAACTAACAAAGTCTACTCCCTATACTTTGTACTTCTTAATCCTAGCATCTTAGACATTTTTGTTTCCTGCATTTGCCTAAACTCTAATTTAACTGTTGCAGACATTCTGTTCTCTATTCTTTTCATGTATCGGTCTATTTCTTTAAGAATCACGCTTTTAAAACCACTAAGGCTTGGAAGAAAAAAAAAATAAAGCAGTAATGGTTCCCTTTTCTCCCACAGAGGTTAACAAAACAAAGCAAGTATTCTTTTGGCCCTTGAAAGTATTACAATTTTTAAAGCCATACAGAGAATTTCTGGAATATCTTTAATTATTCTTATATCATCACTCCAATTTAAGACCTACTTTTCCTTTTATAAGAACAAGGTCCTTTATTCATTTTTTAAATGAAAGGCTCAGACTCTATTTTATAATGGAATTTCTTCAACAAAAATGTTAATAGCATTCAATTACTCTCTATTCTTGCATCACTTTTCCTTTTCCTCTAAAAAACCTTAGTATCTCTCTTTTTCTCCCCTTTATTTACAACTTTTGTTCTTACAAAAACTTTTCTCTTTCCCTCTTCCTCTAGAACTCTCAGATCCAACAAGAAGATGCAAACTGATTCAGCAGATGGACCTTTCTTTGGCTCTAAAACATTATTCTGGATCAGTGTTTCACAAACTCTTTATTCTAAGAATTCTTATTGTTAGAATATTTTAAAGTTTTTCTCTAAATATTGTGTTGCAAATGCTTCCCTAAAACCATGATGTTTCTCTACCTGTACTCAGATGAATAACAGTTCATATTTATTCAATTGTGTAGTTAAAGGTTCTAGATGAATTGAATATATTACTGTTTATAATATAGCAAGGTAAATGTTTAGAATTAAATTTCATGTTTTTTGAAAATTTTATTTTAGCTTGTTTGGGACAAATCTTACAAAGTTGGCTGTGCTGTTACTCCATGTTCAAAAATTGGACATATTAACTATGCAGCAATTTTCATATGCAACTATGCCCCAGGGTAAGTTACCTAAAATTTTAAAAAGAATATGAAAACAATTAAATTGGGGTTTTTTATTTTAAATTTTTCTAACTTTCAACATATTTCCATAAATGCTTTTGTGTGTCCTAAAAAAGAATTAAGTATAAGATATTAAAGATGTCATACTGAAATGTTTTCAATTCCATAATGAATCAATAAGTCATAATTTGGGCATATTTATTATGTATAGACTAGCCAAGTATTATTTCCTAAGTGAATCTTAACTTTAGTATTATTTCACAATATCTAACCTAATTAGCATAGGATTTAAATTATTTTTCAAGATAGTTCACTCTCATACTATGAAAAAGTCAAAAGAAAATAAGGTTAGATGTGTTAAAATGTGTGTTGTAGGAGTTAGTCAGGAGTGCATCAACTTTGTAACATGAAGGACACTTTTATTTGACTATTTTTTGGAGACTGCATTATTAATTGAGGCTAATATACATATAAGAAATTGTAGTATCTCAGAGATGAAAGAGTACTTTAAAAGTCTTCCAGTCAAACATTCCCTATGAAATTTGAGTTCCAGAAAGATTGTACCAATTTATTGTTCCCTGACATGTGCAGAGTATCAGTTAAGCTTCTCCATATTCTCAAGTGGATGGGTGGAAAGAGGTCATTTATTTTGGTTTTTCTTCAATCACTTCAATTACGAGTGAAACAATATCTTTTCATTTGGCCAGTGACCATTTTCTTTTCAGGAAATAACCTCTTTATATCTTCTGCACAGTATTCCCCTGGGTTGTTTCTTTTTCTGATTGGTGTGAATTCTTTGTAAATTAAGGCAACTAACTGCCACATATCCCACAAATACCCTTTCCCAGTGTACTGTTTTTTCTTTGGCTGTGTCTATGATATCTCTTTAGCTGTAGTTAGTTTTAATTTTTATAGGATCAAATATATACATATTCTCTGGATTTTTACGTTCCACTCGGTAAGGCCCCACGCTGTTTTCCAGCAGCTCTCCGTTGTGGCTGGGCCCAGACTACAACTCTGTCTTGTCAGCACTGTGCGCTTTCTGAAATCTCTGTGCAGGTCTTCAGCCTCCAAGCAACTCCAAGATCCTTCCGGAACCTTGCCTTGACATGAGCAGCTTAGGAATGAGCAGTTAGGAATTGTCCAAGGACCCACGGAAGATACTTACAGACTTTTGGGGGTCCTTCTTTGCAGCTCCTGCTCTTTGGGTTCCTGGTTCTAAATACCAGATTCCTTAACATCAGTAAACACCAATATCTCCTTTCCCCCCAGAAAATACACATTCTTTGCTTGGATTTTGTTTCTCTGGCTATGTTTGGAGAATGCCATCAGAGAGAGAGAGCAGACAGACACAAGGTTCCCACTGAGTTATTTTTTATTTGCAAAGGTAATAACCCTGCATTGGTTGTTTTCTAATGCCTGAAAATAGTTATTTTACATATCGGGCTGGGTGGGCAAAAAGTAGGTTATATTTCTAGCCATTATTAGCTAAAAGATAAAACATACGTAAGGATATGAGGTAATAACAATAATAAGACAACAATAATACAAATGATTAATACAATAATTAACAAATAAAATAACACAGGAATAAACTCTGTTTCACATGCTCACAACTGTAAACCTACTTTTGCTCACTCTCTGTATACTTTGTCCAGTGTTCATCGTTATTTTTTAATTTTTAAAATTTTATTTAACTTACTCATGGAAGTAAAGCTCATCATATTCACTGTCCTGGAAATTATGCAAGGCATGAATACCAGTGGTGGGAGATCTTGTGGTCAGTCTTAGAATTCTGCCTACTATAGTATAGAAATTGTTGAAATGGGTCAGTTTCTGAATATGTTATAAAGGTGAAGTTCATAATACCAATTGAAGAATTGGATTTTAGGGTTAAGTGGAATAGTATAAACTAGAATGATACCTATGTCTTTACTTTGAACAATTGGGTAAATGATACCATTAATTTAGGGAAGATCAGTAGGTGTGTTTTATGTTTGTACACATTAGGTAGAGATATTAATATGGGAAATGTAAATGGATTATGAAAAGAAACTAGATAATGAGGTCTGGGATAATTTTCTAAGTAGAGGGAACTTCTGGTATAAAGACGCTGAAGTAGAAGAAATGAGTCAGACTTGAATGAAATCACCTTAGGAGATAGTGAGTATGAAGACTTCATTTAAGAACTAAGTCTCAGAGCCCTACAATAGTATTTCAACCTCAGGCACAGGAGCTAGCAAAGGGGAAAGAGAGGCTAAGACACAAGGGAAACCGAGAAGTTTGTGCAAGGCTCTTACTTCGACTTTTGGCCCCTCACCCCGACGCCGGGCCTCACAGCAGGGACTCTGCTGTCTGTGACCCTCCTGCATGCCAGGGCCTGGTGTCTGGGTGATCCAAAGGCAGCAGCGAGGTCCAAGATGACAGATTACAGCGAGGAGCAGCGCTAGGAGCTTGAGGCATTGGAATACATCTACCCCGACTTCCCCAGAGTATTGCCAGAAAATCCTCCCAGTTTCCCCATTACTCTGAGAGCGGAGGCTGGGGAAAGTGAAGAAACTGTCCACATGACCCTCAACTTTACATACAGTGAAAAATACCCAGATAAAGCCCAACTTTATGAAATACTCTCTTAGGAAAATCTAGAAGATAAGATAATGAAATCTCAGGCATTTTAAAATTATTAACGTTACAGGCAGAAGAAAACCTTGGTATGGTGATGATCTTTAGTGACAGCTGTCCAAGGAAAATTAAATGAAATAGTAGGTTAAATAAAAACTAGAAGGTAAGATGAAAAGGAACAAGAAGAAAAAGAAGCAGAAGAAGCCGAAAAGCAATTATTTCATGGCACTCCGGCTACTATTGAGAATTTCTTAAGTTGGAAAGCCAGGTTTAATGCAGAACTCTTGGAAATTAAAAAAACAAATGAAAGAAGAACAAGCAGGAAAAAATAAGCTAAGTGGGAAACCGTAATTTGACATATTATAAACCATGATCTTGACATCTGATACCCAGCGCTTGGAGGATGCTGGAAACACTGTGGAGGTAAATGAGTCTTTGTTTCAGGAGATGGATGACGTGGAGCTGGAGGGTGATGAGGATGATCCTGCTGACCCAGCAAGTGACTTGACCAAGTGATGAACTATCCCAGTCTGCAGAGGGTCTCGACGGCCACAGCCATCTGTGGCTATGCTGAGAGGGTGTTGAGTTTCCTTTCTTTTTTCCTAAGATAAAATAATTTTCAGGAGATTGTTCTTTTAATAGCTTTCATCATTTAATTTAATTAACTGATTTTAAAATTTCATGAAAGAAGCTAAGAGGAAATCTAAAACAACTCTGATAAGAATATTTGGAAGCCAAATGAAGAAGGTACAGCAAGATGCACAAACTAGCAACTGTAGGAGATGCTCCTGAAAGAATGGAGAAAATGAGGGAGATGACAATTCCATTTAATGAAGTGTGCAGATGATGTTTTGTTGAGTTGTACACTTGAAACCTGTTTGGTTTTGTGAACCAATGCCATGCTAGTGAATTCAATTAAAAAAAAAAAAGAGATGGGGAAGAATTGAAAGAGCAAGTTCTATCTGGAAAAAGGCAAGAGGAGAGGATTATAAGAAGAGAAAATGTAGAGAAATTCTTTTTTTAATCTATGTTTTAAAAGTTTTATTTTACAAAACCAATCTGTTTCACACAATTAACTGCCGGACAAACTTTGTTTAAAAATCAGATATTCTTTGTAGGTTATAACAATTTTTTGTGCTCTTAAAAGATTCTGATATACATAATGAATCTGAATCAAAATTCACAAATGGTGATTGAAATTCTGTCAGCTTTGAGCCCAATGCAACATAAAATCCAGTTATCTTGCATAAACAATTTAAAATTAAAGTTTATAATAGAAATGCCAGCAAGTCATAACTACTACATTACTACTAATGAGTTCCATTATACTTCAAACAGGCACAGCAGATGTGCACATCTGATAGACAGAATGCTTAGAAAATTAAAGTGATCAGATCTATAAATAAGGAATACATAAATATAAACACTGTAATAATGCCAAAGCATTAGCGCTGTTTAAAAAATTAAGATGTGACATAAACACATCTGATCTCTGTAAGCCACTTTTCATTGATTTATAAAGCTATGGTTTTATAATTCTTTTAAAAAGGAAAAAAATGTTGCTACACTGCTGTAGCAACAGTAACATGAAACGCAGTAATTTCATTACACATTCTTGACTACAATGTGATCTTCGAATCCTCTTGCAGTGCTTGACATCTTATTAGGATTTTTCCAGAAAGTCAGCTTGTCTTGTTTTCAGCAGCCTTTAGTGCTTCAGTAGCCTTGCGAATTTCCTTCATAACTGATGATAAAGCTTCTGGGTTAATTCCTTGTTCACAAAGCCGTACCCAAATAGACAGAGTCTCCATATATAAGCCAGTATTTAAAATTCTTGAAATCTCAAGCAGAACGTCCATGGTCTCCCTCACCGCATTCAGGTTCGGCGTCGCTGCCACCGCCGATGCCCCAGCGCCACTACTCGCCTGAGAGATTGTTAATAGTGAAATTTTTCTTCCTTTAATGGGGCTCATGGAAGTTTAATGTGTTTTATTGATATTTCAAAAGATTTGTACATTTTATCTTTTCTCATTTTTTTTGTTTTCTATTTCATTATTTTGAGATTTAATCTTCTAAGTATTTTTAGGGGGAGGGGCCGTTTGCTGTTTCTGTAATGATATACAATATTCCTTTATCTTTATCCCTGTTTAATATTGAGCATATCTACAGTTATATCTGATTACAATTGTTGCTGGACCTTACGATCTTATATGATACAGTCTCTTCCTTGTTGTTATTTATGCATTATATTTTAGTTCAGTTCAATAAAAAGTTTAATTCATTTTAATTAAACATTTAATACATGATGCATATTCATGATAGAAAATTCAAAGAGAAAGTAATGTTTCCATACCCTCCCCAATATTTTACCCTAAAAGATATATTCTGTGTATATACAAGAGTATATCAGTCTACGTGTCTGTGTATCTTCATAATTCAAATAGGAGCACATTATACTTCCTGTGGTGCTAATTATTTTTACTTAATCATATGACTGGAAGTTTCCAGATTCTTTTCAAGACTTTCACAGTGTTTTTTAATAAGTGTGCAAACAATTATTTAAGTAATTCTCTCCTTTTGATGGGCACTTAAGCTATTATTTTTATTACAGCCATAATTGTCCTGGTAGACATGTAATTCTCACATGAGTTAATACCTATAATGCAATTTGATAGTCATGGAATTACTAGGTCAAAGATCATATCTACCTTTAATTTGGAGAGATATTATTAAATATCTAGCCATCATGGTCACAATATTTTTTTATTACAAAATTATTTTTACATTAACATATGAGACTATTTTTCAACTCCTTTGTTAACATATTTTCAAACATTTTGCTATTTATTACTTTGAGTTCAGTATATTTTTAATTTTCATTTTGTATTTTACAGGAATTTAGATATCTTTTCATATGTTTCAGAATATTTGGATTTCATTTTCTGGGAGTTGACTGCTTGTATACATTTACTATTTCTTTTTTCTTAAGTTGTTGGATTTTTTCTTTCAATTGTCAGAATATTTTATATAAGTAAGAAAAACAGCTCTATCATGTTATGTCATTTACCATTACTTTCCCAATTTGATGTTTAACTTTTGACTTTATATACATATAAATAGACAAAATAGAATTTTTTATTATAGAAAAAATATCCATACCTTTTTAATGAGTTTTGAGATTTGTGTCATGCTTTTACAAGTTTTTCAAAAATATTATTGGGTTGACCAAAAAGTTTGTTTGGTTTTTTCCATTAGATGGCTCTAGTAGTGCTTAGCTGTCTTTAACTTCATTCAAAACAATTTTGTTAGGTTGTGTTTTGACAGCTGTCATATCAGCAAGCATTTAAAAAAACATCAAAATTGGTGGATTTTTGTGTAACCATTTTAATATTGAAGATGGAAGAAAATAAGCAACATTTTTGGAATATTATGCTTTATTATTTTAAGAAAGGTAAAAATGCAACTGAAACGCAAAAAGAAAAAGATTTGTGCAGTGTAGAAAAGGTGCTGTGACTGATTGAAAGTATCAAAAGTGTTGTGTGAAGTTTTGTGTTGGGGATTTCTCACTGGAGGGTGCTTCATGGTCAGGTAGACCTGTTGAAGTTGATAGCTATCAAATCAGGACACTAATTGAGATCAATGTTATACCACATGGGAGATAGCTGACATACTCAAAATATCCAAATCAAGCATTGAAAATCATTATCACCAGCTTATTTATGTTAATTGCTTTGATGTTTGGGTTCCATAAAAATTAAGTGAAATAAACCTTCTTGACCATATTTCTGCATGCAATTCTCTACATAAATGTAATGAAAACATTCCATTTTTAAAACAAATTGTGATGAGTGATGAAAAGTGGATGCTTTCCAATGTGGAATGGAAGAGATTGTGGAGTAAGCAAAATGAACCACCACCAACCACACCAAAGGCTGGTCTTCATCCAAAGAAGGTGATGTGTATATGGTGGAATTGGAAGGGAGTCCTTCCGGAAAACCATACAATTAATTCCAGCAAGTACTGCTCCCAATTAGACCAACTGAAAGCAGCACTTGACAATAAGTGTCCAAAATTCATCAACCAAAAGAATGCATAATCTTCCATCACAATAATGCAAGACTGCATGTTTCTTTGATGACCGGGCAAAAACTGTTACAGCTTGGCTGGGAAATTTTGATTCATCCACCACATTCATCAGACATTGCACCTTTGGATTTCCATTTATTTTAGTCTTTACAAAATTCTTTTAAAGGAAAAAGTTTCAATTACCTGGAGGACAGCAAAAGACACTTGAAACAGTTCTTAGCTCGAAAATATAAAATGTTTTAGGAAGATAGAATTATGAAGTTGCCTGAAAGATGGCAGAAATTGGAACAAAATGGTGAATATGTTGTTCAATAAAGTTATTAGTAAAAATGAAAAATGTCTTTTATTTTTACTTAAAAACTCAACGAACATTTTGGCCAGACCAATATTACCTCACATTTCATTTTAGCAGTTATTTTTTTACTTTTTAAAAAGATTTTATCTATTTATTTTTAGACAAAAGGTAAAGGAGGGAGAGAGGGAAACATCAATGTGTGGTTGCCCTTTGCACATCCTCCACTGAGGACTTGGCCCAAAACTCAGGCGTGTGCCCTGACTAGAAATCAAACCGGTGACCCTTTGGTTCACAGGCCAGTGCTCAATCCACTGAGCCACACCAGCCAGGGTGCAGCTCTTTATTTTTTAAAACTTTTATTATTTGATACACTTTACTTCCGGATGTCATGAAAGCTGGTATAAGGATTAGTCTCTTGCTTAAAATAACCATGAAGAAGGGTACTTTTCCTCCTGGAAAAACACCTTTTACCTTTCCCTTACCTCTCTTCTTCCCCTACAGGCAAGCATCTCCTAAACTCTAAGGGACCCCAGGAAACTTGCAACCAGGGTAGCAATGGACAGTGGCAGCTTGTCCTGGGCTAACCCCCTGAACATGTCTCCAAGACCCTATTTCTCTGACTTCTCAGTGAGCTGAAGTAGCTCTTCCTAGACTCTCCTGTTGCTTATTCTATCCTAAGTCCTTCCTTGTTTCACTGTTCAGAACCCAAATAAACATTCTAAAAATAAAAAAATTAATAAATAAATAAAACTTTAAAAATTAAAAAATAACCATGAACACTGGACAAAGTATACAGAGAGTGAGCAAAAGTAGGTTTACAGTTGTGAGCATGTGAAACAGAGTTTATTCCTGTGTTATTTTATTTGTTAATTATTGTATTAATCATTTGTATTATTGTCTTATTATTGTTATTACCTCATATCCTTACGTATGTTTTATCTTTTAGCTAATAATGGCTAGAAATATAACCTACTTTTTGCCCACCCAGCCCGATATGTAAAATAACTATTTTCAGGCATTAGAAAACAACCAATGCAGGGTTATTACCTTTGCAAATAAAAAATAACTCATTGGGAACCTTGTGTCTGTCTGCTCTCTCTCTCTGATGGCATTCTCCAAACATAGCCAGAGAAACAAAATCCAAGCAAAGAATGTGTATTTTCTGGGGGGAAAGGAGATATTGGTGTTTACTGATGTTAAGGAATCTGGTATTTAGAACCAGGAACCCAAAGAGCAGGAGCTGCAAAGAAGGACCCCCAAAAGTCTGTAAGTATCTTCCGTGGGTCCTTGGACAATTCCTAACTGCTCATTCCTAAGCTGCTCATGTCAAGGCAAGGTTCCGGAAGGATCTTGGAGTTGCTTGGAGGCTGAAGACCTGCACAGAGATTTCAGAAAGCGCACAGTGCTGACAAGACAGAGTTGTAGTCTGGGCCCAGCCACAACAGAGAGCTGCTGGAAAACAGCGTGGGGCCTTACCGAGTGGAACGTAAAAATCCAGAGAATATGTATATATTTGATCCTATAAAAATTAAAACTAACTACAGCTAAAGAGATATCATAGACACAGCCAAAGAAAAAACAGTACACTGGGAAAGGGTATTTGTGGGATATGTGGCAGTTAGTTGCCTTAATTTACAAAGAATTCACACCAATCAGAAAAAGAAACAACCCAGGGGAATACTGTGCAGAAGATATAAAGAGGTTATTTCCTGAAAAGAAAATGGTCACTGGCCAAATGAAAAGATATTGTTTCACTCGTAATTGAAGTGATTGAAGAAAAACCAAAATAAATGACCTCTTTCCACCCATCCACTTGAGAATATGGAGAAGCTTAACTGATACTCTGCACATGTCAGGGAACAATAAATTGGTACAATCTTTCTGGATTTGGCAGCATAACAAAAAGTTTAAATATACTTACCTTTGATCTTATAATCTCCTTATTAGGATTTTTTTATTAATATTCTTGTGAAAGTTGACCAAGATATAGAAACAAGGGCACTCATTATAGCATGTTTAAATAACATGAAACTGAAGTTTACAAAAATCAATGACTCCAGTAATAGGGGACTGAGCAACTAATTTACTGTACATTAGTACATAACCTTTGAAAAGACGGCTGTCTTTCTCTATGTATGAATGTGCAAAGGTCTCACTTGTTAGACGAAAGAGCCTGATTCAGAACAACAATAAGTAAAATTAGGTCTCTTTGTTACAGCAGCTAACATTACCAGGAAATGGAGTGATCCAAAAGGCTAGAAGTGAGAAATTTCTGTTTGATGGGGAGCTCTGTTCCATTCGTCATTGAAACACCCAGGTTGCTCCCATCTTGTTTCTTCACCATCCCCAAGTTGCAGATATGAGCTGGCTGAAGCTTAGAAGGGAAAAGAAACATGCTGGCGGCTTGACCATCTCTTAAAGCACCAGTTAGGAAGTGGGGCACAGCACTGCTACCTCTCTTCTATTAGATAGGAAATTGGTTATATGGCCACATCTAATATGCAAGGGAAGTTGGGAAATATAGTGTGGGAAATACAGCTTGCCATTTATATACCAAGCTAAAATACTTTTCTTTCAGTATTTCAAGAGACATTTAAATTTACAGCCAGCAGTCTCTATCACAAATATGTAAGTACTGAGAGAATTTTTGTGAAGAACTTTTTTTTTTCTGAAAGGAATCATAGAAGCTGTTAACAGAAGTTTTCTGTGGGAGACAGATAAAAAGTGTAAGATGGAGACATTTTTCCTATTTAAGCTGCCCTTTTCTGCTTCCTGCATCTACCATATATACTTACACATATTATATATGTATTATTTTATTTTATTTATTTACTTTTACAGCAACCGAGAAAACCTAGAATGATACTGGAGATGTTTTTAAGTCATTTTAGAAGGTATAAATAAGAAGATTTGTAATGAGAGACGAGAAAGAGCCAAGGAAGATTCTCAGATTTATGACTAAATCATAAATAGTATCACCATTAACTACAATGAGGAACACTAAACCTTTTGGGAAGGAAAGTGATGAGTTCCATTTGGGACATAATGAATTTGAGTTGGCTGAGAAATACACACTTTGAGATGTTTAGGGAGCAGGTAGTTATATGGATCAGAAGTTTGTGAGCGAGGCATGGCATAGAACAAATATTTGGAGTGCCAGTGGTAATTGAAATCATGGCAGTAGATGGATCATCTGTGAGGCAGTACAGAGTGAGAAGGGAAGGGGACCTCTAGACTATCATGCCAACATTTGAGGGCAGTTAGAGGAAGAGAAATGGCAGGGCCCACCTAAGAAGACTGGCTAGACAGATAGAAGAAAAAAACAAGAAGAGTATGATATCTTAGTAGGCCTGAGGGAAAATGTTTTTAGAAGGAAGATTTGTCTAACATTTCAAATTCTAAGGGGTCAGGCAAAGTAAAGTTTTAAAAATATCAGATTTAAAGAGGAGTTCATTGATTAACATAGGAAGAGCCCCTTATGTGGGGTAGAAGAAAGTGATGTCAGATTGGAATGAATCAAGGACTGTTTTGTTCCTTTATTTTGTTTTGTTTTTGAAATGGTAATAATGTGAGTATATTTAAATATTGACATGAAGTATCTAATATAAAATAAAAGTAATTGTTTATAAATAATAAAAGTATAGAAGAGATTAACCTCAGAAAGAAGGAGAAGAAGTTCTTCGGTTTTATTAGAAAAAAAGGAAAGATGGGGTGGGAATATTTGTCATAGTCGATGACAAAAAATTCCTCAAATTCCAATCTAAAGGCCATTATGTTTCTCTGCGAAGGAAGACAGATGATGTCCTCAGAATAAAGGGGAAGACAGCGAAGCTGGAGTTTTGAGGATTGGGATGGTTGGAAATAGTTATGGAAAATGAGAGAGAAATCTAAGGAACCTCGTGTAATGATTTTTCTCCAGCAGCACCCAGTCATCCTGAAGCAGACAAGGAACATTCAGACAGTAAGGTGCCTTCCTGTTTTCCAGCACTGGGGTTTAATCAAGTGGATGTAAAGAAAAAATAGTACAAAGGAGTTTCAGGTTTTTAGCTGAATATGCAAATATGAGAATATGCAAAGACGTCATTGAGACAGAGAAGAGACAACAGGGTGCATTGGAAGAAAATAGACTTGCAGACAAGTAAAGAAATGAGCCACCTGGAAAGACAGGAAGTTGCAGTCAATGAAAGTAATGTGTGATTTTTGTGAGTTCAGAGATGGAGCAGTTTTAGGGGATAACAAGGTCCAGAGTATTGCTACAAACATGACAATTACAGAGGACTTAGAAGTTTTGTGATGGTGAAGATATCCAGTGACAGAGAGACCAGGTTATTGGACAAATCGCCTGTAAGCATGTTGCAATCATCTAGGTCCCAAAATCTAAGACAACAGCAAACCTTTGACTGAAAGGGAACTAATGAGCCAGGCACCAAAATAAGTAAGAAGGCATGATCAGAAAGAAGATAGTACCTCAGGAGGATCAGAGGATGGTACCGCAAAATAATATCAGCCTCAAAGGAGATTTGTCAAGGTTTAGCTGCGGTCCCTAGCCATTCAGTTCCAAGATATGGAAGAGGAGATGTGAGCAACGGAGTTTTACCGAAAGTGATACAAAGTAACATAGCTTTGCATATAAAGACATAATCTGAGGCAGAAAACCAAAAGATCCATGCTTTCCTTGATCTTGAATAAGTCTAGGAAGTAATCATAGAGTTTTGACAAAGACAAATGTATTAGATGTAACAAAAGGAGAGCCAGATAGGCTCTCTAAAGTAATCTTCCTCGATGTTTATTGCATTGTATTTTTCTCTAGCTTACTGGGATAAACTCTTTAAATCTTCTTGGGAAGCCTGTAGATGTCCAGATGTAAATGAGAAGCCAGCAATGCGGTATTTCTCAATGATATATAGAAGCAGTGAAAGTGAAAGTGGTTATTGTATGTGCAGTGCAACTATCCTATAACTTATTAGATGGGAAGCTCAACGTCTGTTTGATCTTCTGTTGCCATTGTCTTGTGGACAATGTACAAACTATGTGAGTCGGTATGTATAAACTGTGAGAAGAGTCTGCTTACAAATTATAATTGCTAGATTGTCAATCCATGGAACTGAATTACCTCCTTCATGAACAAAGCGGTGGCAGAAATGGGTCTAGTGTAAGCCATTAAACTTCCTCCTCCTGGAACAGTATAGTTCTATTATAAAATTTGAAAAAGGGTTTTCCAATGGACTTTGGGTTGGACATGGGTATATTACCCTTTAGGCAAGCCAGGCAATATGTCCTTGTCTAGGGCCTGGGCACACGTCTTGTAAGTGGCAGTGTGCTGGAGGTACGGCCAGATGATGAGTTTAAGAAAAATTCCAGAGACTTACATGCCTAATGTTTGTTTTTATAGCTTCCAATACACATGGAGTAAATAAGCAATCCTATTTAAATGACCAGTATTAATGACTCTCCCCTCACTCAAAAATATCTTTTCCCTACCCTACCTATCTCTTCTTTCTTATCCTATGTGTTTTATATAAGCTTCCCAGATCAAATCTACTTTTGGGCCTCTTTTCCTTACTTAGTTTTGGGCAATTGACATAATAATTTCTCACTTCTCCCCTCTGCTCTGTACAATGGTTAAACCAACTTTGTAAAATTCCATTTTAATTTATTTGCTTGTTTATGTATTTATGTATTTTTCATGTAGACCTTGAAGTAATAATCCATGCAACTAGGTCTTTGGGACGATAAACATTTCAGGATATTGCACAGTCTTCAGAAAATTAATATATCATTTCTTCAGAACTTTTTATACATTTGTGCCAACCGGAAAGCAGTTAATTATAAAACATCCTATAACATCCATTTCTAAAGGGAAACTTTGCTACAAAATAAGATGAAAGATGCTTTAAAACCTAATCATTCTTAAGTTACATTATTTTGTTTGAAGGATGTTGAAATTAGTTTCAGAAGAGACTTTTCGGGGGGAAAAAAGAGGGGAAAGAGTGCATCTCCAATTTAAGTACTTCTTTGAGTCCTTGATCTTAATCACCTTTATAACCTAACCCAAAATTGGTAACCATATTATTTAAACAATATACAATTTGAGACTTTTTCTAACTAAATGTTTTCTGCTTTTTTGTAGAGCAACTCGGACAAGGAGGCCTTATATACCAGGAACAGTTTGTACTCAATGTAGCAAAGATGACAGATGCACAGATTTTCTATGCAGTAAGACAAAGAAAATACCTTTAACATGAAAGCAATCCATAGGGCATAGAGTGACAAGACAAGTGAAGTGCTGAACACTAATTTTTATTCCTTTGACCACAATAGTGTCACATTACCAAAGAGCATTGAAACAGTATCATCTTTAGATTTTTCTAAGCTGCAAAGCCTTTTCTGCCCTCTCTTACCTCTATTCCTGCTCCTAAGGTCATACCAGAATGTCTGAAAGAAGAAATGAAAACTAATAGATGTACCATGAAAAGGCTGCACAATTAAATTCCAGAAATAGCAGCTTATTTGAAAATGTTCTAAAAGATAAGATGTTGCAAGATATTTATAAAGAGAAAAGAAGTAGCAAATGTTTAATAGTTTACTTTTAGTTTTTCTCCCCAAATATTCAAAGATAAAAGTAGAAAATATGTTTGATTTAATTATTTTTAGTTTTTCCAAACATAAGAGCATAGAATCCAAAAGTATAATTACCTGGAATATACGATACTTAGAGGAATGGAAGAGGCATATTGTGTTTTGTGTTAAAGAAACTAGTGGACAATTTTATCATAATGCCACTCCTGGGGTGACTCCACACGAACGTTTCTGCCCTTGGTTCACTGAATCAAAGCTCAGAGTCTTGCTCTTCCTCTCACCCTTTTCTTTCTCTTCCTGAAACATTCAGTCCTAAGGCCATTAGGTAGGTCCGAATGAGGAGACAGGCTTCCACACAGAGTCCAGCCAGATGTGACAGGTTAGAGCCTAAGGAGGATGACAGGGAATCTGTGCACAGTGCAGTGGACACGTGGGGACAGCCTAAGCAGGATGAGGATGGTGTCCGCGTGGCAATGTGGTCTTGTATGAGAAGTCAGAGCCCTCGTGGAGTGAATCAGTGACCCTGTGTGAGGTCAGGCTCAGTCTATCAGAGACAGATCATGATGAAGGCGTGTTCATGCAGAGGTGGCCCAGTAGGTAGTATCTGAGCCCAAGCAAGGTGAGGACAGCATCAGCGTGGGGTGGGAGGGAGAAGCTTGGCATGGAGTATCAGAGTCTGAACAGGTAAGGAAGGCATCCATGGAGGGATGGTCTGGCACTGGTTGCTAGAGCCCAAGCAGAATGAAGAGAAGATTCATGTGAGGGTGGCCTGGAAAGACATATTAAAACCCAAGCAGGTAAAAGGGTGTCCATGTTTAGGAGCAACTTCGCCTGAGATGTCAAAGAGCCCAATCTAAGTGAGGAAGGTTTTAATATGGAGTAGGTGGTCTGGTATCAAGAGAGGTCAGAACCCCAGTGGGGTAAGAAGCAAATCCACACTTTGGAGAAGTTCAAAGCAGGGTAGAAGGGGAAACAAGCAAAAGATCAGATTATAGGTTGCCAGGTTCAATACAGGATGCCAGTTAAATTTAAATTTCAGATAAATGAAAAATACTTTTAGTATAAATATATTTCTAAAAAATTATTTGTTTTTTGAAATTCACATTTAGCTAGGCATCTGTATTTTCATTTGCCAAATCTGGCAACTCTTCCAGCCTGGTGTGGCATGTCCAAGCCCAAGCAGGATGGGCGAGCACCCAGGGAGGGGAGAGAGTACAGGAAGCGATGGAAGATTGGAAGCGTACTTAGCTGAGGGAGGGCTCTGTCCCGCCGAGCCTCCGGGTCACCACAGATGGGGAAATAAACTGTACCAGACACACAATTTGCCTGTCAAGAGAAGGGGCTGGCGATTCCCTCCAGTGGAGAATGCCCCGAGCCCTTGCGCAGAAGTGGCTTTTATTGAGAATGACATGTACAGAGGTACACAGCATGCATACAAAGCCTATCAATCTACATCAAATGGCTATAGATAATAAATTGAAAAATACAGAGGTTTGTCTTAAATCAAGGTCTGTCAGACATGTTGGTGCCAGGTGCTCATTAAGGCACAGTTTTGGGGGCTCAGAAATTACCTCCTCGTGGTGAAGTGAAACACCTGGTTTTTTCCTTCTCAGGGCAGTGAGAAGCAGAGCAAACTTCAGTAACTATGTGGCATTTTTTAGTGGGGCTACAGTTCCCAATACCACACAAAGTGGTCCCCAACATCAGTACTCATTAGCTTGAGGGCATTCTTAGCAAAGTAAGTTTCATAGGATTTAATGCATTCCTTTTCCAGGCCTAATTGTTCCTGGGAACTGCCTGATCCAGTTTAGGGCTGTATCTGCCTTTAGTATTGTTTCACTGACCCAGTCAGGCATCTGGGCAGAGAAGCCAAGATATAAGGAGACTTCTTTCAGTTAGAATGAGGACTCCAGCCATGACAAAGCGGAGGGGTGAGGGTCTTTTGCCCCTTCTCCGTGTCACCCAAGTCCTTCCTTGATGTGCGACTGTCTTGGTTGCCTCTGCTGTCAAAGGGTCTTACCCATCATTGACTAACCAGCCATCCTTTGGGGCCAAGCAGGGTGATGTGAGGAAGGTGGGGGCTGTGCCCCTGCCAGGAAGACAGGTTTTGTCTCCTCAGTGGCCTATTTCCCCAAGACTTCCTTGCTCAGCCCCAGCCTTGAGGCCCTCTCACCTGTCGGTGAGGCTACAGTTCCTGAAACCAAGCAAAATGGTTCCCAACACCAGGGGATATGTAAATATGTAAAGACAATTAGCATGAATCTTGTGATGGATTGGAATTAGAGGTATTGGAACTTAAGAATTTCAATAAATATAAGTAAACTCAATGTAAATATTCCCTTGCTCTGAGATGGCCTTAAAGCAGAGGCCCCCTCAAACCCCAAAACAATGAGCACAGTTAACACACAGATCTTGGTTTCTAAATTTCAGCCTGCACTCAAAAGGACTAAAGATCATTGGAGGAAGGTTGGATTCCAGGGTTAGGTCAGAAGAAATATAAAATAAACCCAGGATATCTTTTTATACCTGAAAGCAAGAAAGTGCTCAAAGAGTGATGAGACATGTAACAAAAAATACATAGAAGGACACAGAAGCCATCTCAAAGGGTTCTCACTGGTCAAATCTGGGACAATTTGAGCATGGAAATAATGATAATAGTAATCAATTATAACTCATTGGATAAAACAGAAGAAACTATGATTCATGATGATATGAATAAGTTAAAGTTTGGTGAGGAACAGTGTATTTACTAATTCCAAAGTAACTGCCCATAAAACACTTTAACTACTAAAGGGATAGGAGTGACTTCACAATGGAGAAGCCTGCCAGAAACCACCCTAATCAAGCAATCAAAGTGAGCATCATCAATAGTAGAGCATTTCAAAACTACATGCCACTTGAGAGATGCAATCAGAAGAGCACAGCAGCACTTCTATAGTATTCCTGCCAAAGACGCATAACCAGATTTAATCACAAGGAAGTATCTAATAAGTCTAAATTGCTCACTTGTTTAAATATTGAGGATTTATATACAGAATAACTGTCTTATTATCTTCAAAAAATGTCATAATTATGAATGTCAAATGAAGAATGAAGAATTGTCCCAGATCAAAGAAAATAAACACATCAAAACTAAATGTAATGTATAATTCTGAACATGATGTTTTTGCTGTAAAGGACACTATTAGCACAATTGGGAAAAATTGAATGAGGTCTAAACATTAGATGGTAGTAATGTAACAAGGTTAATTACTGATTTTGATGGCTGTAGTATGGTTATATACAAATAATCTTAGGAAATACTAAGTACTTTGGCATGACGAGGTATCAGATTGGCAACTTGCATTAGAATGTTTCAAAATGTAAATTATTTGTACTGAATAAAAAAGTTATTTGTACTGATTGAAACATTTGAGAGTTAGGGATTCTTTTAAGTGTTTAAACATTTCTTAAAAATTGCAAAATCTAAGGAAAGCAAATCAGTTTGAAGGTTTTTTGTTATAGTCCAGAGGAGAGATGAGGCTCATATTGGAGCAACAGTTTAGAGATGAAACAAATTTGATTAATATTCATGGAGTAAAATAGCAAGTCTTAGAGTCTAATCTTATATTATGATGAGAAGAGAGACTAATACAAATGTTAGGTTTGGGTGAATAATGGTGCAATTTATGGAGATATGAATTCTATGAAGAGAAGCTATGGAAAATAGATAATGAGTTCAGTTTTGGTAATTATTAGCTTTATTTTTTGTATTTGTTTTTTATTTTTAAGTATATTTTATTGATTATGCTATTATAGTTGTCCCATTATTTTCTTTCCTTTATCACCTTCTGCCCTGCACTGCTTTCTCTTCAACATCCCCGCTCCCCAGTTCATGTCCATAGGTCTTAAATATAAGTTCTTTAGCTTCTCTATTTCCTAGGCTATTTTTAATTTCCCTCTGTCGATTTTGTGCCTACCAATTATGCTTCTTATTTCCTGTACCTTTCCCCCATTCTCCCTTTCCCCCTCCCCGCTGATAAACTCATTGTGATCTCCATTTCTGTGATCCTGTTCCTATTCTAGTTCACTTAGTTTGTTTTTGTTTCTGTTTTTTAATTTTTTTAGGTTCAGTTGTTGATAGTTGTGAGTTTGTTGTCATTTTACTGTTCATAGTTTTGATCTTCTTCTTTTTCTTAGATAAGTTCCCATAACATTTCATATAATAAAGATTTGGTGATGATGAACTCTTTAACTTTACTTTACCTGGGAAGCACTTTCTCTGTCCTTCAATTCTAAATGATAGCTTTGCTGGATAGAGTCATCTAGGTTGCAGGTCCTTGCTTTTCATGACTGAATATTTCCTTCCAGGCTGTAAGTTTTCTTTTGAAAAATCCGTTAATAATCTTATGGGAATTCCTTTGTAAGTAACTCTCTCCTTTTCTCTTGCTGCTTTTAAGATTCTCTCCTTATTGTTAATCATGAGTAATTTATAATTATAATGTGTCTTGGTGTGTTTCTCCTTGGATCCAATTTCTTTGGAACTCTCTGAGCTTCCTGGACTTGCATATTTAGTTCCTTCACCAGATTGAGGAAGTTCTCCTTCATTATTTTTTTCAAATAAGTTTTTAATTTCTTGCTCTTCCTCTCCTTCTGGCACCCTTATGATTTGGATGTTGGAACATTT